AGGAAACAAAAATGCCAGGAAAGAGTATTGTGCATGTGTTTGGAGCCTGCTTGTGGTATTGCGTGTGTGTAGAGTGAGCTGATTGTGGTGCGGTATTGTGTAATAAGGTTGGTTTTAGTCATGTTGTGTTTGTGGTGTAATGTAATGCATATGTGGCTAGGGGCTGTAGAGAATGTGTATAGGGGATATAGCAAGTGTGTGCATACAGGCTATAGTGTGTGTGTGTGTGTATATAGGTGATGTAGTGTATGTTTAGGGGTGTAGTATGTGTTTGCTTACAAGGAATCTAGTGTGTGTATAGGGGATCCAGAGTGTGTATGTTAAAAGTGTAGTGTGTGTGTGTATATATATATATATATATATATATATATATATAAATATATATTTGGAAGTATTGTGTATGTGTGTGGTGCAGTGTGTTGAGGGGGTTCTGTGTGTATGTGAGGGGTGCAGTATGTGTGTCTGAGGGGTGTGGTGTGTGATGTGTGTGAGAGTGCTCTGTGTGATGTGTGTGTGTCTGATGAGTGTGAGAGTGCTGTGTATGATGTGTGTGAGAGTGCTATGTGTGAGAGAGTGCTGTGTGAGAGAGTGCTGTGTGAGAGAGTGCTGTATAAATGTTAGAATGGATTGTGTGTGTAGGGGGGAGGGGGGTTAAATAAATAAAGTAGGCATTATGTCCCCCCCTCCCTTCTTACCTTTAGCCTGGGAGGGGGGGACCGGCACACTGATCCCTGGGACTGGGAGGCGGGGTTCCCTGGTGGTCCTCGTGGTGAGATCCGGTCGTTGCCATGGCAACGCGCCGGATCTCGCGAGAGGAACCCGGCGGAGCTCTAATTTAGAGCTCCGCCGGGTCCTCTCTCCTAGCGGCTGTCTCCCTCCCTCTCCCCCTGCCCGCGGCCGCATTATACAGCATGTGGGCCGGTGAGGGAGATCTTTGATCTCCCCACCGGCCCTCCATGGCAAACAGCGGGGCCGGCGCTAGGAGAGTGCCGGCCCTGCATAGACCGGCAGGGGAGATCCTGGGACCTCCCCTGCCGGCCTCGGCTCATGGCCACCGCGGCCCACCGGGCATTTGCCCGGTGTGCCCGATGGCCAGTCCGGGCCTGACCCAGACTGTCTCACTCACACACACACACACACACACACACACTACTTTATGGATGAATAAGGGGTATGGATTTAAAAAAACAAACAAAAAAATTCCAATCTACTTGTCCAAGGAACTAAAGTTCCCATACACAAACATAATGACCCTTACATAATAAACACACTGACCCACACATAATAAACACACCCACTCATACAGAAAAACACTGCAAACTGACAATCAGCAACATTGACCCTTACAGAAACACACTACACACTGACACTCACTAACACACACACAACCCATACACACAACACACTAATACTAACACTGACCCATATACACACAAACTACACATTCTCTGACACAGCACAGATTACCCGTAGCAGCCTGTTCCATGTCGAGTATGATGTCACGTTGAATCCTGGCAGATTCCTGAGCATTATGAGGAGGCCAAGCCGAGTTATAGCATCCCGGTATGTCTGCTAGAGAAAAGCTCCCTGCTTGGCACCAACTCCCCCCAAGGCAACCCTAAAATAATTTTAAAAACTTCCAGTCTGACACCTGAAACTGCATGCCCCATGTGTCTGGTGATATGAATTCCACTTTCCTGATACAAACTGAAATTTATGATTACAAACATGTAATACACACGTACACCAGCAGGATAAAACTTACAAGGAAAGGTTAAAGCTACATGCATAGCTGAGGAAAGACAAGACAGGGGGGATATGACAGAAACATTTAAATACATAAAGGGAATAAACACAGTAAAGGAGTAGACTATATTTAAAAGAAGAAAAACTACCACAACAAGAGGACATAGTCTTAAATTAGAGGGGCAAATGTTTAAAAATAATATCAGGAAGTATTACTTTACTGAGAGGGTAGTGGATGCATGGAATGCCCTTCCAGCGGAAGTGGTAGAAGTCAACACAGTAAAGGAGTTTGAGCATGCGTGAGATAGGCATAAGGTTATCCTAACTATAAGATAAGGCCAGGGACTAATGAAAGTAATTAGAAAATTGGGCAGACTAGATGGGCCGAATGGTTCTTATCTGCCATCACATTCTATGTTTCTATTGTCTCTACCATCAGGACAGGGGGGGCAGCACATGTACGGTCCGTCCTCTTATTGCCCTCCTCTTCATAGGACTTATGTTTGGAGGTAGGGACATGTGAGGAGGAGGTATAGACTGGCTGGGGGCAGAGTTAGATTGTTTGGAGGCAGGGAAATACGGAGTTTGTTTACGTGTGGGCGGAGTTAATGGTTTATGGGCGGGCAGAGGCGGAGTAACTATTGTAACCCCTCTGCTCTTGAAAGCATTTCAACTAGCTGAAATATTAGGAGGAGGGCAGAAACAATGAAGGGAAGGCGCAGCCAGATTTATCACAAGCGGAGGTGGGGTCTCAGTGACTGAACATGGCCAGCACATTCTCAGACTGCATAACAGCACCTGCGGGCGCCCCATCACACAGAGCACCCTAGGCCATTGCCTAGTCTGCCTATAGGAAGCGTCGGCTCTGACCAAACAAGAGCTTTGATGGTGAATATCTATCATGACTGCAAGTCTGTTTTGGCTTCTTCATCTACTGTTCCCATATGTCTTACATACTTTGTTAGAAGTAAATGTTCATCTTACTTTCTATTGTACAGCACTATGTAATCTACTGGCACTATATAAATAATTGTAATGGTGATTATCTTTTACATTAATAAAATAATTTTCTAACTAACTGACTAAGCCTATAATTTCAATTATTACATGTTTTAAAGTCAGAGAAAAAAAGTCACTTAGTTCTGGAAAAAAAGCTAGCTGATTAGGTTAACACACTAATTATAAAGCCATGTTTAAAATGCTTGGTTCATCTTAGGGCATCAGTTTTCTGAGTTTGACAAGTAAATACCATTAAAATAGGTATTACAAATATATTCTGCCACTTCAGCTAAAAGAAGTATATAATTTTGCTATATATCGACTTTAGATTCAGTCAATTATATCATCATATAATTGGATTGTAATTATCACATTGCATTTTCAGGCTGAAAAAAAAGCACCTTACAAAAATAAAAAATAAATAAAAGCACCTTGACTTTAAGATTGATATCAATGGTTCTTGCTAGGCCTTTTTATTTGCAAAGTGGAAAAGCATCTTTCTTAGTGCTCAGTGCCGCAGCAGAGGACACTTCAGTAGGAGAGTGGATGTACATATATTTTTAGTGGAGTGTTTCAAGAAATACATGCCTGTTTAATGAAATATTAATGCTAACATACACTAATGAACCACAACATTTAAATCGCTGACAGGTGAAGTGAATAACATTGATTATATCATTACAATGGCACCTGTCAAGGGATGGGATATATTATACAGCAAGTGAACATTCAGTTCTTGAATTTCATGTGTTGAAAGCAGGAAAAATGGGCAAGCAAAAAGATCTGAGTGACTTTGACAAGGACCAAATCTTGTAGGGTATCCCAGGTATGCAGTGGTTAGTACCTACCAAAAAGGTGCAAAGAACGACAACCGGTGAACAGGCGTTAGGGTCATGGGCACCCACAGTTCACTGATATACAACAGGAGTTAACTGGCCTGACTGGTCCAATCACTCAAAAAGAGTGTAGCTCAAAGTGCTAAAAAAATCATAATGCTGGAAATTATAGAAATGTGTCAGAACACACAGTGCATTGCAGTTTTCTGTGTATCTGGCAGTGTAGCTTCAGACCACTCAACATGCCCATGATGACCCCTGTATATCACGACAGCATCTTCAATGGCGACGTGAGTGTCAGAACTGGACCAATGGTGGAAGAAAGTTGCCTGGTCTGGTGAATCATGTTTTATTTTAGATCAGATAGATGGCCAGATGCATGTGCATCATTTACCTGGTGAAGATATGGCAGCAGGATGCTCTGTGGGAAGGAGGCAGGCCAGCAGATGCACTGTTATGCTTTGGGCAATGTTCTGCTGGGAAACCTTGGGTCCTAGCCTTCATGTGGTTGTTACTTTGACATGTAGCTGAACTTGATGGACGTAAGTCTCTTTTCAGCTATGTAACTATGTACCACCTACCTAGAGATTTAATGCAATGGTGTTCCCTGATGGCAGTGGCCCCTTTCAGCAGGACAATGCACCTTGCCACACTGCAACAAAATGTTCAAGAATGGTTTAAGGATCATGACAAATAGTTCAAGGTGTTGCCTTGGCCTCCAGATTCCCTAGATCTCAATCCAATTGACAACATTAGGCAGGTGGTTTTAATGTTGTGGCTGATCAGTGTATAAGATGAAACATTAACAACAGATTGCTGTATTGTCTCTCTCAAAGTCTCTCTCAAAGTCATAACATTATTATTAGTATTTATATAGCGCCTACAAATTCTGTAGTGCTGTACAATGGATGGATTAACAAACACGCAATTGTAACCAGATGAATTGGATGCACATGAACAGAGGGGTTGAGGGCCCTGCTCAATGAGCTTACATGCAAGAGGGAGTATGGTAAAGTGACACAAAGTTAAGAGCAGGAGTAGATAAGTAGGCTGGAAGAATAGTATTTACTTCATTCAGTTTTTTTTTAAATGATTGTTGCAGGAGCGGAATCAAGGTGCGAGAGGGGAGGAGAACTATTAACAGTTTAATTGATACTCTTTCCTGAAGAAGCGAGTTTTAAAAGATTTTTTGAAGGAGTGCAGACTGGGTGAATGTCTAATGGAGAAGGGAAGGGAGTTTCACAAGAACGTTAACATGGACTTTATTAAGAAAAAAAAGTACTACCGAAAAATATTTGTTATACAGTATTCATGCATACTAGATTTGAAGAAATTGATTTTAAAGCCATTGACATGGAAATATAAGTTTAAGATTTATTTATCTTAAGATTGTTTGTGCACCCTATCAGGTTTCATCATTGCATTTGAACCACAGTTTATTTTATCAGACACACATCAAGACACATTGACAGAATGTTCATAGATTTATTACTGGTAAAATAAGTTAAATACAAATAAATAAAATATTTACCCTAACATTTTTTTTTCTGTTGTATTTAAACACAGCATTGGCAGTTTGTAAAAATATTGTTTTATTTTTGGATGGTTCAATCCACAAGTATTAAACAGATGCCAGATATATAGCTACTACTACACTTGGTGAGAAAAGCACAGAATAATTTTTTTTGGGTGTAAGTAATAAACCGAGAATTGTGTAGAATGGACTTGGAGGAATTGCAAAGAATTTTAGACCACACTAAAAGTTTATATTCAATTGTTTTCCAAATTGGACATTGTGGTCTAAAAATTGCATTTTCCTTGTCAGTCCTGCACCACTCCCAATTTATTAAATAAACAAACCACTCTTACAAAAATGCCTGCAATGCTTTAATCAGGTTATTTTGAAATTCCATTTCAATTGAAGCGCCATTTGGCAGAATAGCAATTAATCCTATTAATTTTACAGTCTGAACTTTATGTTCTATTTCACAATATACAGAGCAATCATTGACAAGTATTCTAAACATAAAGCAATAACCAGGAATATTCTTTTGGTATCCATGGTGACTGTTCCAATTTTATATTATAAACCCTCAGTTGCTCTTTATAAATAACCCCCATTATGTCAAAAACATATTTTCAAATACCAAATTACAAGGGTATGCTCTAAATCTGTTTGCAGATTCTGTTTAGCAGTGAATATATAGATAAAATATAATTCTCCAGACAAAAGTATCAGTGACATACTTTCTTTCCTTTTCCATGTCTGAAGGATGGCAGCAAAGACAATTTTTTTACATTAAATATTTATAAAGCATTGGAGAAGTACAGCGTCAGCAAGCGAGAAAGAGAATCATTTTGTTACCATGGTTACAGTCGAAGGACTGCTCTCTCTCTCTAGAGTGTGTCTCTTTGTCACGTAAGGTAGACAGCATGTGCTTAATATGTTCATGGTTTAACAAAGGAGTAATGATTATAACCAAGCAAGCAACACTATCCAATCAGAAGACTCATTTACAGCAGCCACAAGCTATATCTTATATTACGAGTGACCTCGTGCTGCATTGCACCAAATCATAAAATATGTAACACAGGAGCCCACACAGTGTTCTGATTGGTTTTAGCTGTGAGTAATCACTGGTGAGAAGAGAGCAATACACACTGGAAATTAAACAAAATAACTATTTTTAATGATGCTTCTTAATTTTGTTAACAGGATTCTAAGAATAGCCTATAGGAAAATGAAAGACATTAACTAGACATATGCTTGTAGCAATTGTGACGGTGGCATTTTCCTTCTATTGCAAATGAATGATAATCATTTGAAACGGTGTTCAGTATTTCTTTAGTCACATATTAGACTACTTAAATTCCCAAAGCACGTGTGAACTGAACTAATAATATCCAGTAAACTAATATTTTGCAGTTGAAAAAAAAAAAAAAAAAAAAAATGCACAATTGAATAAGAGACGAAAATAGCAGGTGTAAACATAGCAGATACTTTTGCAATATGCCGTAAAGAGAACTATTATAGACCACTGGTAATTCATCACTGTAGCACATCTTCAACCTGAGCCACCATAATTTTTGTTTTACACTTCGTCCACTGGGATTTATATTCAAACAAATCCGATATTTATTATTAGAATATTAAAGGAACACTTCAGGCACCATAGGGGTTAGCGCTCAGTCTAGTGGATATGGTGCCATGAGTGCCCTGCCTCCCGCTCCCTTCCTTTATAAGGAGTCAAACTGTTTTCAACAGTTTAACTTGTTACTTGTGGTCCGCGGGACACCCTTCCAACTCCACCACCATTGCTGCAGAAATGTAAATTTATCACCAGAAACTTCCATTAGCACTTCTGAGCCAGTGCAGATCTTAGTTCATTGACTGAGAGAGTTGACTGTATTGCAGGACTTAGCAGGACTTAGCTCAGGAGAGCTAACTGAAGTTCCAACTAGGGAAAATGTGTTTCTCCGGCCATGTTAGTGGCTGAAAGGATCAGCCTAGAGCAAATATAAGAAGTCAAACCATTCAAAAACAGTTTGACTCTTTACAATTGTGGAGTGCCAGGGCACTTCTGGCACCATAGTCACTACAGTGAGCTGTAGTGGTTATGGTGCCTGCAGTGTTCTTTTAATTTATCCAATTTAAAAGAACCTTTAAATCATATGTTGTTTCTTATCATTCCTGACAATACTGATGAAAACACATTAGTCAGGATAAATCACGTTTGTACAGCTAACCTATGCTTAAAAAGAATATTTAAACTATACTTTCTTCCAAATCAAATTCCTTTTAATCCAATATGCAAATTAATTGATCTCTCCAGGATTTACATCTAATTTATACAAATACAGTTACACCATCTTTAAAGTGTAAGGATTCTATTATCACAATTAGCAAACACAGTAAGGTTTACTAAATAATACATAATACACAATTTAGTTGTGCTGCCTACGTTTGTAACGTACAGTACTTCAATTTTGGATAAAATGCTTTTGTGTATTGAAACACTTAAAATGATGAACAGATTTACTAGACTGTTTAACAGTGGTACAATAAGAATGTGTTGTTTTGTTTTTTATTAGATCGTATACAGCCAAACAGTGCCTATGCAGTTATTGTTCTGTAAACTATGTATTTGTATTAAATCAACTCCCAAAAATGCATAGGCAGCAATAATAAGATTTTTTACCACTTTTTTTTCAAATGTGATAACATTCAACGCACATATCTGCTTTGAATGTAGGACTTTACACTCTTTCTATCCATGACTACTGTATATTTTACTTGAATTACTCATTTGTAATTTGTAAATCTTAAGTAAGAATGATAAACAGAATGAATGTAGTGTTTCACGTTAACTAACAAATAAAAAAAAGTCTAAAGTTTAAATGTCAAAACATGTATCTGCCTTAGAATTATAATGTAAGTTGATCAGATAATTCTTCTTACAAAGTCATGGTATTAGCATTAAAATATGTGCAAAAGGTCACTTTTATTTTTCTATATTATTATTACTAATGTACTTATTAAACATATTCTGCAACACCATACAATAGATAGTATGGGCTTGTTACAACTATATGTTTTATTTTTATATCTTTTGCTTTGTCAAACTCTTTTGTCAATGTAGTCTTGTTGTAACTTCATGTCTTCACCTACAGTGTGCTAATGACGTACTTTTCAAGCAAAAAATGCATTGTTATGTAACTGTAAAATTATTTTTGGAAAGATGCCATTCAATCCATGTTGGTCTAATTTGGTACTGACTATAATAATTTTTTTTTGCTTAAATAGCAATCTCAAAGAAAAACATTTCAATCAGCTTTTAATTATAATTGATAGTAATAATATATCAATTAAATAAAAATAGCCCACCGAACATCCCTAAATTATTTGTTGAATGTTGCAACTGTTTTACTATGCTTGCATTGGGACATGGGGCGGGGGGGAAGGAGGGGCTAAAAAATTTATTTGATGCACAAATTTAGAGGAGTTGGAGTATTCTTCTTGAACAAGTCTCTGTTATGGATTCAGTTCTCTTTAACCTGTTTTTTTAATGATCTCACAATGGGCATACAAGGTATGTGTCAGTGTTTGCAGGTGACACAAAACTAAGTAAGGTACTAACGTGTGAGCAGGATATTACTACACATGAATTTTGACAAATTATTGAACTGGACAAAAATGCAAAACTATGTATTTTGGAGTGAATAATGTACAAGCAATCTTTACCCTAAATAGAAATGAGTTAGGGAAAACAAGAACTGAGAAAGACTTGGGCATAGTTATAGACAACAGACTAGTTCTAAGTCAGACATCATTTCCAAAGGCCAGTAAGGTATTGTCATGCATATAGCGGGTAATGATTCACGGGACAAAAATATAAAAATATTTGCTTCTGTATAAATCAGTGACAAGACCCCACCTGGAATACATGGTGCATTTTTTTGCACCTGTTTTAAAGAAGCATATTATAGAAATAGAAAGAGGCAGGCTACATTCTTTAGTTGGGAAAAAGACGATTTACTTGTTACTAAAAAAAACTGTGAATTTGAGTGGACACCATAACATTATACAAACAAATACAGAACCAATACAAATAGCTTTCTGGTATTCTGTTCATTAATAGAACTGTACAAAGGACACAATATCACCAATTTAGAATTTAAAAGTCAAGATTTCACCTACAGCAGAGTTCTTTAATCCCTTAAGGACACATGACATGTGTGACATGTCATGATTCCCTTTTATTCCAGAAGTTTGGTCCTTAAGAGGTTAAAGCAAAAATAACAAATATATGGAATTCTCTGCGTATGGAGTTTTTTTTTTGTTAGATACTGTACTCATTTTTAAACATCTGAATGTTTTGGAATTCATGGATATAATTGTTAACATGGGTGTAACAGATTTTTTCATCAAAGGAAAAAAATAACTGTTACTTTGCAGTCAAGAACAATTTTTATCATATTGTGGCAACATTAGAAATTGCTTCCGTTTGAGATTTCCACCTTCTGTTGGATCAACAGCAGTCATGCAAACAAGTAAAAATCAGAACGTAATTAATTTTAGTTTCTTGTCAGCTTATATTAGTATGTAAATATGTACATATTGGATCCTCTTGTAACCAGGAGTATTGAGTGCATGGTCCAACTCATACCCATTCAACTTGTGCAAACCGCTTGGAGCCAACATTCAGATGTATATACAGGTGAGATAACCTTATACATTTACTCTGTACAAGGCTGTTACTGATCAGAATATTAGAATCCATTAGAGTAATGCAGACCTTAGCAAAACTAAACTATTATATTGATAATAAAGGAATTAAAAGGAGTGCAAATTTAATTGTTATAACTTGAATTGTTATGATGCATGTCCCCATTTTCGTAATACTTGAGTAAATTAAAGGGCCACTGTCCAAATTTGAAAATAAATAAAAATCAGTGTTTAGTATATATAACCCAATAAAAATATGACTACATTTTATTATGCTTTTTTTTTTTAATTGGGGTTATATCTAAAAACAGATTGCAAAAGCTACAGATCTCTTGTCTGCAGCCTCTTCAAGCCTTCCACTTCCAACCCAGTCCAGACTTTTTTGTGACTGTTGAGTCACGGAATTCCTAATGCATCTTAATGAGAAGTCATTGCAAGGAACTTGGGCCATATGCTGCCTCTTGAGGTTAGCTCCACTGAGCTAGACTACCAGGAAGTAACAGGACCATTTGTCTGATTGACAACCAGGGAGTGTAACAAGGTTATTTTTATAAAAGTACCAATTTCTATTGAAATCTGCACTTTTTGTAAAATGAAAAGAAGGGGACACACTTTTCATACATAAAGCTCTACAGCAAGCTGAAGTGCTATTGTGGTTCAGAGTGCTCCTTTAAGCATCTATAAAAGAAAGGCAACCCTGATGGCACTTATAAATTACATTGTAAAACAGACTATGCTAATCTGTAGCAAAATGTTTTCAGAAAGTATAAAGAACAAGAAATTACTTTTACACCTGTTTAAAAACAACTAAATGTACTTTTAAATGACTCTTTTTATGGACTATGACAATACATTTCACCTTTACAATATAGTCCTCAAAAGCACCTAGAATGTTTTTCTCTTAAGTTCCCTAATGATGCAACTATTAGGATATTCCATTTGAGGGCACAATCTCTAAGGACCGATTATCTCAATGACATTGAGAGATAGCACGAAACAAACAAAACACCACTTGAAAAGGAAGCTTACATTTCAAATAACAAAATCACAAAAACAAAGTAATCTTTAAAGGGGACTCATATGTGTTTGATTGCTAGTTAGCATTAGCAACGATAAAATGTCCCAAAAATAAGTACTTTAACATGAGTTCTAAAGAAACATGAGTAAACTAAACAGACAAATATTCAGTGTCCAAATGACAGGTCAGTAATAAAAATGCTTAGTATTTAATGCATCAAGAATTAACAACAGCATATGTCACACATCACTGTCATCAGCGATGTGAACAAGTGAATCCAAGATGTTCACTGACAATGACAGATGGACATTTCACAAGATTTTTCCTAAATTCCAAAAATGTACAATCGCATAATAAAAACTGTAGGAACAAAAACTGTGCATTGCCAGCTTCATAATCCTGCACTTTATGACAGCTCGACATTTTGAAAACTGGTTGTTACCAAGGTAAAAAGAGAAGGAGCAGAAAAAACATATATATTTTTTAATTAAATAACATATAAATATTTTTTATTTTTTTTTACTGCTTCACCTTTTTTCTCTCTATTGTTTTTTTATTTCTTGTTCTGTGAATAAAATCAACATTTAGTGACCGTGTCCTAGCTTTCAATCATCTTTTCTACCATTAATCATCTCTTTTTCTGGTGAACAGGAGGGATTAGGAATCACAAAACAAACATGCTTGGCCATTGTACATTTCTTTTGGTTCATGATTCGGCTATAACTGATCGGCCAAAAGTCAGGCAAATTGCAGTTTGTAACGACACAAATCTCCAAGTCTAATATTTTTATGATTTTGTTGTAGATGTATAGTACATGTAATGTTTGTTTTTTTTTTTTTTAGCTTTTTACTATTCCTATAGAATGTGGATGCTGTAAATAAAAGATGGTCTCGGAAAATACAGATGTGAAAACAGAGTACATAATAGCATAGCTCAACGTCCACTGCTTTCAGTTAATGACACGTTTGCACTTGGTGTTTAGTACACACCGACCCGTAGTACTCAATGTACAAAATTTAAGACAATAATACAGGTTTCTAGTTTTATGTTTGTGGAACTCTGTTTGATTGGATCTGCCAAGCTTCAGAAAACATTATGTTTTAAAAACAAATTTTCAGCACAACCAATTTTTCATTTTTTGGCACAGTTTTTTCCACTCTATAACATTTCTCACTGGTACTGTAATAAGACTGGATAACTAGCATCACACATTCCAATAAGAAACCAATTTGGCACAGTACAGATAGTATTTGTTCTGCTATGTTCAATCTTACCAAGCAGAAGAAACGTCCGACTCAAAATTGATACTTAGTTTTGCAAAAAAGAAAAGTCACTTTTTTACTTGCTAATGCAATCATACTGATATTTCATTCTTCATTTTTTTTTCTAGTAAAAAGCAGTGTGGTAGCTGCTATATATGGCTTTATATAAAAGCATGGAGCCTACCTTGAATATATATATATATGTATATCTATACGTTTGTGTTTTTATTTTATTTTTTTACAGTGCACAATTTTTAAATGTAAGTTGGCATTTAAACATTTTTTCACACTAGTGATCTATTTAATCACTTACAAATCTAAAGAGGAAGATTACATTGGACTCTATTTACAAACAAGTTGGCACTTGACTAGATTAAATGCATTAATCTTTTGTTAGAATCTCAACACTGCAAAGCAGAGAGACTCTGTGTCTAGTTACATTTTGCAAAGATAACATATACAATAAATATCCAGTTGGTACATTCCTGTAAAGTGTTTAGTAATTCCCGGAACATGAATCCTGATTTTCATTGCTTGAAAGAACATTGCGGGGAAGATGCTAATCAAGTGACAGTAACGGCTGCAAGTTTTCCTCTTCGTTTTTATCATTGTGTTTCAACACCCCAGGATCCACTACAGACTGGGACCTACAGCAGATAAAAAAAAAAAAAATCATCTTATTCAGGTTCCTATCATCATAATGTTGCCAAATGCCTTAAGGATAATTTCTTGACATTCAACAATATAATTTGCAATTGAAAGCATTTCATGTTCAATGCATATTCATATTATGTGAGGATCAATGCAGTATAGCACTTATGGTAGCAGTATCCATTCCTTGAAAAGCATGTTGCTAGGCAAAGTTGAACCAGCAGTGTGTAATGATGTCAGCAAGTCTGCTTTCTGTGAGCTGCTAAACAATATTAACTATAGCTATAGGTTATTGCATCTTTCAGTTACTGTATATGGCATTATGTTATAAACTCTCTATGCCATCTCATACAAATTCCTCTGCTACCTTTTGTCTCATCTCCACAGTTTAACCTTTAGATTGTAAGCTCATGGGCAGGGCCCTCTACCTGTTGTATCGGTCTGTTCTTATTGTTTTGTCTTTTTCCCAATTGTACAGCGTTCCGGAATACGTTTGACGCTTTATAAATACCAGTAATAAATAAATAAAAATGACAGGCTGACCATATGGCCAGGGGTCCACTATCAGAGAGTCAAAGGTCATATGCATTCTTGGTTCTCTATGCTTCAGAATGACCAAGATTTGTAGCTTATCATGAAAAAATTACTTTTAGAGCCCTAGGTACCCAATACACATTGTATTTGTTTAACCCCTTAAGGACACATGATATGTTTGACATGTCATGATTCGCTTTTATTCCAGAAGTTTGGTCCTTAAGGGGTTAAAAGCATTACTGAAAAGTGTTATTGCATAGAGGTATTTTTAGTAAAAGGATATTCCAGACACACTTGTATACACCAATATAGCCAAAAAACAGTGTCTTAGTAAAATATTGTTTGTGGTAAGAGTAACCCTTCCTTACTGGTTCCAGCACCAAACAGAGAAGATAAATAGAGAAGGACAGATATCAGAGGGGATAGGCTGAGAGGAGCATATCTGTGGCATGAGGGGGTCTTTGACATTATTGGCTTCCTGGAGCCATCATGAGGTGTGGCTGGCATCAGACAGTAAATATGCACATAATTTACATTAGCCAGTCCAAAACTCTTGTTCCTGGCTGGCAAGAGCAGAGGTGGTGTTAAACTCTGTATCTGTATACAGACTTTAGGCACCATGATTACTTTAAATCAGTAAGGTGGTGATGGTGCTTGGAATAACCCTTAAAGTGCATTTGATCATTTTAACCATATATTCATGATTTAATTTCCTCCTGTAACGGAACGCCTGGCACCCCGACTGGGTACCTCCATTTGACTGATGCTCCTAGTGCTTCCCGAGGGCTCCAAGCACTCCACTAGACACCATAACCACCGCAGACCCCACAAACCACCGCAGCTTGGTGGGGGTCTCGCCATCTTCCTCCTACTCTGGGCCCAAGACCATGGACCAGCTTCCAGTAGGTAAACCTCTCCTAAATCCAGAGAGCAGGAACAGAAACAAGTTCTTACAAGAGCTTACTCTGGGGAGTATAGTGACTATAGCAATGCCCAGAGTGTAGGTAATTCTCCAATCCCCCAAACATGAGCCGAAACTTCACAAAGGTGCTTTCATCATACCCTCCTTATTCAAATCTCAAAATTTAATTTGCTAAAAAAGAAAAAAAAAAAAGGTTTCTACAAATCTCTGCAGTTGATCTCTGCTCACTTAATCCCATCTCTTGTTTACATAAAAAAATATCTGTCAAGGCTGGACACCTCAAAACGCAGAACCCAGAGCTAAGCATCTTCTATACTACACAGGAAAATGTATTGCTGGCCCTTAGGGTTGCCGGGCTTTACACATGAAGGTATAGAATATAGAATGCAAATATGACAAAAAGACCGCAATGGCATCAAACAATTACACAAGCATGGGGGCATATATAATGAATGCAAGGTGGACCAGTCCATGTTGGAAAGGACATGATGCAAAATGATGCATCCAAAAGGCACAGAACCCATTGCACTTGTTAGATATGTTCTGAATTACATACTTACAAAGTGCTTATATTTAGGGTCAACAGTTCTATTTTGGGCCAAAATCCCTTGGTCACTCTTTTTCTATGCTTTATACATAGACTTCTTTTCCAGGAGTTTAATGTTAATGGTAAAGTGTCTCTAAATTACAATAAATTAATTTACAAATAAGTCCATCAGCGCTGGCTCCATCTCCGCCTCCTTCAACATCATCACTATTGGGAACCAATGCATGGCGAGTACCGCATGCCATTAGACCTTCCCCAATGGAAAGCATACAACTGCTGAACGTTGCGATCACGTACCGCTGTGGTGCGGATGGTTCACTGAATGTGTGATACAAGGTGACACAGCACTCACCCTGACCTCTCAGGGGGACTCTAACACATTCTTGCAGAGACTGCACCTGGCTGAGACCCAATCTGAAGAAACCCATGCCTCGGGAGCCATGACCTGAAATGCATTAAAATATTATGGACCGCAAGACGCAGTCCCATTGTACACAACACTTGTTTTACTCAAATTACTTACTTAACAATATTTTTGATTGTATGTTATAGTCTAAATGTAGGTATTCTAGCAAAGTGCTAGGTGAGGACACACCATATAGGGCAAGTTACTTTTTCAGAAATGTCCACGAATTACATACCTGTGACATATGGTAGCATTATGTTTTCAGTTTATGACCATATATTGTGTAGGTGCACAGCACAGACACCTCAGTATGACTGTTCCCAGAGGCACATTACTAACAATTAGGTAGTTAAACACCAAGGGGCCACCATGCAATCACCATGTGTTAACTAAGCCATAGGCAGTCTAGCGCAGTTGGACACCTAACTACATATTGCTATGAATTGTTATAAATTGTTATATGATCATGTCTGCATGTAAATGCAAACTTATACAATGATGCAGTTGTTATTTTTGTAATTGGAAACTCCAATAAAATACAAATTTAAAAATACAAGACTATCAATTTGCAATTTTCCATATAATTTTTAGTCTTTCAACTCTTATAAAAACATAAATGTTCTTATTGAATTACTAATATGCTATGCCAGCTTCTATTCTATTTTCCCAGAACAACAACAACATTCATTATGTTAATGCACATTGCTGCTTACCATTCCTGAGTCAGCTTCTCTTTAGAGAAGAATCCTCTACCAAATGGATGACTGAAAGTATGCTCATTGATTGGCTATTGATCGGTTTCCTCGTAATATACTAATAACACAGCATTCCCTACTGATTTATACTCTGTTGTTGTCTTGGCCTATTTATCGGTTTGGTGTTATGTGTTTTAACTGCTTTTGGATTTCTGTCATCACCAATACAGGTTTTACCTATTTTCAACAAGTATGTGTTAACTAGAGTGCTAATGCATGTACTATGTGACTGGATTATGCCGGGGCGTGTGGGGTAGGGGGTTGGAGCTGTCCAGTTCTCTTGCTCATTTTTTCTGTTTCTAACTTTATTTCTTACTATTTTTTGGCTCTTTTATATGCTCTAGTTTTAAGACACTCTAACCTTGGTTGCTGTCCATTTATTTAGTATTATCTATCTGCTTTCTTAGTGGAACCAACCAAATAAAGACAGATGATAGATTAGATAGATAGCTTAGCAAAACAAAAACAACTTTATAAACTGATATTTGATCAGAACAACACATTTAAAGCGGCTCTGTCACTGATCTTATGAAAGCCTATACTTTTCTTTATGTACAACTTTCCAAATTGTAATTTTGCAAAAACAAAATGGGGAGCCCAGGGGACAAAATGTCCTATTTAACTGGTAAAACAAAAAGGTGGCAAGGCTGCTTTAAGAGTTTTGATGTCTACTAAGCAACTAGGCTAGAAGCAAGGGAAGGGGGCAATGGGAGGGAGTTGTCGAATTTGCCCTTAGGAAACTGGGCTAGAAGCATAGGAAATGGGCATTGGGAGAGAGGAATGCAAAACTAATCCACAGGGAAGGAAGTAGGTTTCATGAGGGACTACTTTAGCCCAAAAGTAACTACTGATATTTTATTTAGGCAGTAATAATGCTTGTAGAAGTAAATGGGCTAAAGTAAACAAGAAGGTAACATATGGGATGTCTCCTGTCACACAGGAGTAGGTGGGTTTATATTTGGCCACTAATATTTTGTAAACCATATAGAAGAAAATGAGCATACTCTTTATGAATTCTAGAAATATGTTTGACCATAACTGATCATAAATGGATGGAAATTCTCTCGTTTGGGGTACATTTATGGAAATGAATCACAGCGGATTTAATGTAGTATGTTATGTAGTATGTTTAATGTAGTATGTTATGACATGCCAAAACCACCAAGCTATTATGGCTTCACAATGGAATTCACTATTCGCATCAGCACTGACCTGTTTGTTTTACCACAGAATGTTATTTAAATTAACTGCAAACAAAGACTTTCTCTCACATGTGTATTTCACTAAAGGGTGGATAATCTCTCTTTAAGGATTGTTTTCATTATACAATGCAAAAATCAAGGTTAACTTACTAATTTGTTAACTTCACTGATGATAAATGTAAAGGTTTACTTTTTTAGTTGCCCCATTTCTGTTTTGACCCATAACCGGGGAACAGCCCTAGGGATACTCCTAGCATCATAACCACTGGAGCAAGCTATGATGCTTGGAGTAACCTTTTAAGAAGAATTTGTGCTCTGCCCATTATTCATCATATCCTACTTTAACGACCAGTTAAAAACAGTCAAAGCAAGACTAACCATAAAGTGACATCAGTGAGCTGTCTAGACAGGGGTTTAGTCAAAGGTTCTAAACCCATTAATTTGCTTGGCTTTACACACCAGGAATAAGGGGTTGGACAAACAAATAACCTGCCTAGGGCGCTGTGGGATCATACCATCCTTTTCTGATACCAGTTAAAGGATACTTCAAGATTTCCTTGCATGGATAATTTTATATACTGCAACATCAATAGAAATAAATGGTCTCCAGCTATATATCCTTCCTATAAATGCCCTTTTTTTTCCTGAGTAAGCCAAGAACTCTCTTGGTGAGGATATAAGCCAAAGGTTAATTTGACTTAATAGTTTATTCACCAGATTTCTTTAGAAAGCATTTTAATAGGACAACCAGATAATAATTGAGAGTGGGTGGATGAAGTTCCCCAAACATATTAGTTTTTTAGTACTTTATGAGCAATGGAAGAGAGATATTGACATATGGTAAATGCAGGCTTAGAATGCATACGGCAAGTGTCCTTCCAGTATCACCTCTACAGGACAATTGGGAGATATGTCTTTCTAGTGTTTTCCATCTATGAGACAATGTAGCTGAAACCCTGAAAACTACATCAGATCCTTATCACTTTTTCAACAAACTTTACAATAGGCACTATTAATTTTAGATAGAACTCTGTTGGCATCTGTCATACACAGATTTTTCATTTAGACTGTCAGATAATGACGTATGATTCATCACTCCAGAGAACACGTTTACACCTCTGCATTGCATGTTGATGCATGGCTTGTGTATGTTTGCTCTGCAATGGAAACCCATTTGAAGAAGCTCCTAACACATAGTTATTGTGCTGATACACATAGTTATTGTGCTGATACCGCTTCCAAAAGTAATTTGGAGCAGTGTATTGAGGGATGTAATTTTTATGCACTATGTGCTTCAGCACTACGTATATCACAGTGGTTACATAGTGGCTCAAAATTTCTTCCAAGACAACAGTAAAACATCAAAAAAATATACAAATAAAAATGTATGTCTTAATGTGAAATAGAAAGGAAGAAGTAGTAATGAATACTTATATTTCAATCCAATTCCTCCTATAATCTCCTTAAATTGGTCAAGGATATCGGTCCACACTCTGATGGTGTAGAAAATCATATGGTGTCAATATATGCTGGTATAAGCCTCTTCTAGGAATGGTATAGCCAACTTCCCTCCAAGAGATATGATGCAGACAGTCATAGAGTATTATGTATAAACATGCCAAACTCATATATAATAAATAGAGCCACTCACCAATGTTAACCCCTTAAGGACTGGACTGTTTTTGCGATGTTGTACATTTGCGACCAGGCATATTTTTACACTTTTGTGGTGTTTGTGTTTGGCTGGAATTTTCCGCTCTCTCATTTACTGTTCCCATACAAATTATATATTGTTTTTTTCAGGACAAAAGGGGCTTTCTTTACATACCATTATTTATATAATATCATGTATTTTAATTTAAAAATAAAATAAAAAAAATGATGAAAAATTGAAAAAAATACATGTTTTTTGACTTTTACTTGAAAAATCTTTTACTCATCTACAAAAGCGAATTAAAAAAACTGCTAAATAGATTCAAAATTTTGTCCTGAGTTTAAAAATACCCCGTGTTTACATGCTTTTTTGCTTTTTTTTGCATGTTATAGGGCTATAGGTACAAGTAGAATATTGCGGTTTCAAAACATAAATTTTTTAAATTTATCAATAGTGACATTGTAACACTATTATCTGTCATAAATCTCTGAATAACACCCCACATGTACATATTTTTTTTAAAGTAGACAACCCAGGGTATTCAATATGGGGTATGTCCAGTCTTTTTTAGTAGCCACTTAGTCGAAAACACTGGCCAAAGTAAGCATTCATATTTGTTTGTGTGTGAAAAAAGTAAAAAAACTAAATTGAACGCTAATTTTGGCCAGTGTTTGTGACCAAGTGGTTACTAAAAAAGACTGGACATACCCCATTTGCAATACCTTGGGTTGTCTTCTTTTGCAAATGGTATGCCATCATGGGGGTAATTCTCATTCCTGGGCTACCATACGCTCTCAAAGGCAACGTAACCAACCTGGCCATTTTCAATGTAAAAATATTTGACCCATATATTTGACCTTGTAACTTTCAAAAATGCTATAAAACCTGTACATGGGGGGTACTGTTTTACTCAGGAGACATCGCTGAACACAAATATTAGTGTTTAAAAACTGGAAAACGTATCACAACAATTATATCATCAGTAAAAGTGCTGTTTGTGTGTGAAAAATGCAAAAAAAGTCACTTTCACTGACAATATCATCGCTGTGATATGTTTTACTGTTTTGAATCACTAATATTTGTGTTCAGCGAAGTCTCCCGAGTAAAACAGTACCCCCCATGTACAGGTTTTAGGGTGTCGTAGAACGTTACAGGGTAAAATACAGTGCTAGCAAATTCAATTCTCTGGAATTTCGGCCTGGGTTGGCAGGCAGGTCCCTTAAATTGCAATCAATAAAATTACTGAATTATGTAAAACTATTACATAAATACGCACGTAGAATTTAAATATATATGCATATTTATATATTTGAAGTCTACGTGTATATTTATATAATTATTTATGTAATTTTGTATATGGACATATGTATATTTCTTATTATTTTTATTTATTTTTATATACATAGATATATATACAAATTCATTCTAAGTGTATTTTGATATAAATATATATATATTAATTTTAAAATACAGTTAGAATAAAATTTCATATAGCTATATAATTTTTTTTTAATTTTTTATTATTATTTAAAAAAATTTTTATTTAATTTAAATTACTTATTATTTATATTTTATAATAATATATATATACAATATATATAGTTATTATATATATTATATATATACGTGTGTAATTTAATTATAAGTGTATTTTTATATTAATATAAGTACATATTAATATAAAAATACACTTAGTATGGCATTATATATATGATATATAGACATATATTATATAGATATAATATATGTCTATATATCATATATACACATATATAGTTTTTTTTTTTTTATTAACATGTACCTTTATTTTCTTTTATGATTTTACACTAGCAGGGAGACTGCCTGTCAGCACAGGCAGTCCCCCTGCAGGCAGACACATGGACACCTATTGTGACCATGTGATCACTGTGTTAAGCGATCACATGGCCACAGGGGTCCTAATTCAGTGTGGGGAGACTGTCTATGCTGCAGGCAGTCTCCGCACAACCGGAGCAACGCTGATCGCCGCCGGGGGAACGACGGTGATCAGGTAAGTAGCTCTGACCGTTAGGACGGTTCAGGACCGTCATCGGTCGGCAACGCAAAAATGCAGATGACGGTCCTGAACCGTCCTCGGTCGCTAAGGGGTTAAAGCCCTCATTGGTTTTAGGCTCATACTGCATTTGTATCACAACTTCAACAATCTTATAAGTGTTATACTACCTGTTTGATCACAGTGACATAGATAGTGTTTTCACACTGGATTCAAATCTGCATATGCTGTGGTGTGGCAAAACAAATCATTTCAATAAGAAAGATAACATGAAAAAAAAAACTATTACATAAAAATAACAAATTGATTGTCTTATTCAAGTGATTTGTATTGACACAACCCAATGTATGCAGATTTAATGCCACCATCTCACTGATCATTCAACCATGTAACTGTTATAAGATAGGTAGAACACCACCTATAGTGTATTAAAGGTGTGATATATGAGCCTAAAACAAATAAGATACATATTTTATTTTTTTATATTTTTTTAATATTTCACTGTTGTTGCGGAACTGTTTGCACTAATTGAATTTGTGTGGAGGATATTTTGCAGTTGTGCACTCCTTTTTGGCTGCATATGTCATATATTAGTTTGTGCCATGATTTCCTTTCTTTGAACACTTGGTCTATTTTAATTGGTACCATTAGTACTAGAATCATACTTTTTCACTCTATAGCTTTTTTGCTTCAGCACTTGGCTTCCCCCCAAGTTAGTATACATAGTCTACCACTTCATTGCTGGTATGTAGTTATTCCCAGAATCTTCCCATTCACAATAATAGCACTTAGAGTTGACCTAGGCAAATCTAGTAAAACACACTTTTAACCAACTGACTTGTGGCAAAGTGGCAGCCTTTTCAGTATTGCCAATGTTTTTCTATGGAGATTTTGTGGTGGATTGATGGACTTTATGCATCTTTTAGCAATGGGTGAGGCTAAGGCACCTGGACTCAATAATTAGTATGGATTTCCACTCATATCTAGTCATTTAATGCTCATTTGCATCATGCTACACATACTTGTTTTTCCTGCCTCACTAAACTCATTTTCCATTTTTATGTGTAATAGCTCTGTAACCCAAAAGTATATAGAATAATTTCTGAATCCTTCTAGTTTGTTACAGATTTCACATGTATGACACTATCAGTTAGTAGTCTGACAAGGTTATTTATAAAAGTGCGAATTGTGGGACATTCAAAGTTAATTTCGAATTTTAGGCCAAAATGGAAGCATAGCTAACTGAGAATATTTCCAGTTTGGCTACTTTGGTCTTGAGCTTGAAGTTTACTTTGAATTCATTTTGAATAGCCTACAATTCTCACTTTAGTAAATGAACCTATTAGTCTTCATAGTAAATAAAAATTACTTAAAGGAACACTATAGTGTTAGGGATACAAACATGTCTTCCTAACACTATAGTGCTGGAGTGGCTGTTGAGGTCCCTGGTGCCCCTCTCTGCCACACTTAAATGTACCCTTTCCATTGCCACACTGGTCTTTCAGTGGCTGACCCCGCCTCCATGGCTGAGAACATCACGATTACATTCTGAAAGGAAAGCAATGTGAATCAAAAAGCTGTGCTGTGCCAATCAGCATCTCCTCATAGAGATGAATTGAATCACCATAGTTGTACAAAACAGAATTACTATAGTTGCATAAAAATGTATGTTTTGCCCAAGATATTATACCCTGCTCACAAGGAGATCATACAAAATAAATCAAACTTATGAGTGCCATACCTCTTCATAGCTTTGGGAGATAAGTCTTTTTCCACCTCTTTCATTGGCATAGTATATGAGTCTACATTATATTCACTCTCGTCATCATATTCATGGTCCAGTAGCGTTCTTGCCCATGTTCCCATATCATATGGTGGCAGCATCCCACCAAATTCAGAGGGTAAGATTTCTGGGTGAATCAGTTGGTGCAGGCTATTGAGATTATTCCCATGCAAAAATATCTAAACAAAGATAAGACAAATTAGTTTGCAAACTTTATGTAATGTCAAGTGTTTTCTTCTATGTAGTGTTTTCTATGAAGAGCATAGTTAAAGGGACACTATAGTCACCAGAACAACTATAGCTTAATGCATTTGTTCTGTTGAGTAGAATCATTTCCTTCAGGCTTTTTGCTGTAAACACCGTCTTTTCAGACAAATGCATTACAGCCTAGCATTACAGCCTAGTGATAACTCCACAGGCCACTCCTCAGATGGCTGCTAAAGCTGCTTCTTTTGGCAGTGCTGCAGAGTAAGAAGCACTGCTATTCAATGTCTCCAAAAGCTGCATACAGACACTGAACTTTCCTCATAGAGATGCATTGCTTCAATTCATCTATATCAAGAGATGCTGATTGACCAGGGCTGTGTTAGACTTGTGCTGCCTCTGCCCTTGATCTGCTAACTTGACAGTCTCAGCCAATCCTATGTGAAAGCATTGTGATTAGCTCACATCATCACTTCCAATGATGTCAGCAGACTGAGGCAGTTCTCCGGCAGAGGGAGCAACTTACTACTTGAATACAAGTAGTAAGATTTTGCTATATTTAGGGAGGCAAGAGGGTGCCAGGGGGCTAGATGTTGGTTTTAACACTATAGGAAAAAACATAAAGTGGCAACACCTCCCAATACGTGACAATATATATATAGAAAATATACAAATAACCTGGAATCAGGCAGTGATTCGTGAGTGGAATCTGTATAGAAAATTACAAAACTAACATAGCGTAATACAGTTTAGTTCCAGTGAGTAGTATCTATAGAAATAAGTGCACTCACAAACGAACATGGAAACAGGCTCCTCACCCTCTCAGGGCTAGTATGTTGTTTGATGAGTAGACAACCATCCGTGGAATATATGTAAATAAAAAGACTGAATATAGTGAAGTTTGTTATAAAAGTACAAAATCACATTTATTGGTCTCACTTACAGTAGAAGGAATGTTACAGGCATATCTCCATATAACATGGAACTCCCAAACAGCATGGAGGCAGGTCCAGTGGAGAAAACAAAAATAAATGAAGTAATACACAGTAAAGAAAATTATTATATAAAATAAAACAATTGAATCAGAACTAAAAGTCCTTAAAATATGTATCCAACGCGTTTCGTCCGGCAGAAGGACTTCATCAGTGATATTCATGCAGTAATCTTTGTAAGTATATGTAAGGATGCCAATATCCCCCGGCATTTGGAATTCCCGGTGTCCGGTGTGCGTGCGTTCGACGTGCGTACCATTCATGGAGCGCAAGAAAGGGGAGGGAACCCTTCGCGTTCCAATTACAATATTTCCGGAAACATAGGACGCATGCGGGCAATAAACGCGCATGCGCACACACAACAACCGGAACCTGTAGGGGACAAAAAGACACAGGGCGAAAAATCCGCCCAGATCTCAGGAGAACAGCATTGTAGACACAATAATACATATTATACAGAATGAAGAATAATAATTAATAATAATAAAATTTTTATTATATAAGTTATGTTAGTCATAAAAAATTACATATATATTAAACTATTATATGAATAAAAAACAGTATCCTTAAAAAGCAAGATCCGATTTACTTAGAATTAAGAGGAACCCAGTATAGCTCAAATATTAAAGAACTTAAATAAGACCTTGTAAATCGATTTCTTGATTAAGCCCCTGATGTAGGGTTTTAAGATTAAAAATCCATAAAGCTTCTTTCCTAATTAATTCTTGTAACTTATCTCCTCCCCTCCAATTCAAATGAACTAAATCTATTCCAAATGCTTGGAAAGTATTCCAGCTAAACAAAGGACATGAGTAACAGTGTTTAGGAACACTATGATCAGATTTGTTTTTCTTTATTTTGTTAAAATGTTCCCAGATTCTAGTATGGAGTTTTCTAGAAGTGCGTCCCATATACTGGGCTCCACAACCACACTATAGTAGATAAACAACCAAAGAAGAAGCACAGTGAATATGTTTCTTAATATAATAAGCTTTATTCGTATACGTACTTGTAAAATTAGTCATTTTCTTTTTTTGATGTTTACATGTGGAACAATGACCACAACTAAAGAAACCCTGTATTGGAGTTTTAAGTACGTTATTACAAGAAGGAGTTATAGGAAGCAAACTAGGCGCTAATTTATTTTTTAAATTAGCTGATTTTTTATAAATTACCGTGGGAAATTTAGGTAGCATATGCTTCAAAATATCATCTCTCTTCAAGATGTGCCAATGTTTTTTGAGTATTTTTTTCTATCTTTTTTGCTTGGGAATTGTATTGTGTTATGAAAGCAAACTCAAAATTATTATTGAAATTATTTTTATTATTTTTACTTCTATCACTATGTACTAGTGTATTTTTATAATTATATTGAATCATTTCACTGTGATCTTTCTTTTGTTCTTTATTTTCAAGTAGAAGGGTCCTATCGGAATGGAGGATAGCTGTCTCTGTTTTCTCCATTATCTTAAGATCATAACCCTTATCTACATATCTTTGTTTTATAATTGTCGATTGTTCTAAAAAAACCTGATTATCAGTACAATTTCTTCTGATACGGGTTAGTTGACTCTTAGAAACATTTAAGAGCCACGGAGGATAATGAGCACTAGAACATTCAATTGCCGTATTACAATCTGTGGGTTTGAAATATGTTTTGGTTTTTAATTTATTTGATTTAATTTATTATTATTAATTATTATTCTTCATTCTGTATAATATGTTTATTGTGTCTACAATGCTGTTCTCCTGAGATCTGGGCGGATTTTTCGCCCTGTGTCTTTTTGTCCCCTACAGGTTCCGGTTGTTGTGTGTGCGCATGCGCGTTTATTGCGCGCATGCGTCCTATGTTTCCGGAAATATTGTAATTGGAACGCTAAGGGTTCCCTCCCCTTTCTTGCGTTCCATGAATGGCACGCACGCCGAATGCACGCACACCGGGAATTCCAAATACCGGAGGATATTGGCATCCTTATATATACTTACAAAGATTACTGCTTGAATATCCCTGATGAAGTCCTTCTGCATGACGAAATGCATTGGATACATATTTTAAGGACTTTTAGTTCTGATTCAATTGTGTTATTTTATATAATAATTTTCTTTTCTGTGTATTACTTCATTTATTTTTGTTTTCTCCTCTGGACCTGCCTCCATGCTGTTTGGGAGTTCCATGTTATATGGAGATATGCCTGTAACATTCCTTCTACTGTAAGTGAGACCAATAAATGTGATTTTGCACTTTTATAACAAACTTCACTATATTCAGTCTTTTTATTTACATATATTCCACGGATGGTTGTCTACTCATCAAACAACATACCACCCCTGAGAGGGTGAGAAGCCTGTTTCCATGTTCGTTTGTGAGTGCACTTATTTCTATAGATACTACTCACTGGAACTAAACTGTATTACGCTATGTTAGTTTTGTAATTTTCTATACAGATTCCACTCACGAATCACTGCCTGATTCCAGGTTATTTGTATATTTTCTATATATATTGTCACGTATTGGGAGGAGTTTCCACTTTATGTTTTTTGTTATTTATGTTTTAGGTGTTAATGAGGTACACTTGGGACTTCTCCCTACAATACGTTTCGCACTATACTCTCTTAGTGTGTATACTCTTCTTTGTTTGTATTTTAACGCTATAGGGTAAGGAATACATGTTTGTGTTCCTGACCCTATAGTGCTCCTTTAAGTTTTAGAAATTTGCAGATATTTTCACATTGTCATATAATTTATGTTCTTATGTATTTATATTTTGGATGGCATAACGTGTGCTAACCATTGTATTGCATGAGGCTATTGATTTTTTTTGTTCTAGAGCTATTTAAGTATACATATCAATAACTTTTCTTTCTTTCTGTCTGTCTGTTTGTGTCTGTATGTCTGTCTATCTATCTTATAAACAACTTGCTCTTGCTTACTTAATTTAACCCCTTAAGGACTGAGCCAAATGTACACGTTGTGAACAAAACGTGAACAAAATCTGGCATTTGCGCTACATGTCTGTCCAACCGTAATGCACCTCTTTCATATTAAATGCACCCACCCTTATTATATATCATTTTATTCAGGGGACACAGGGCTTTCATTTAATATCAAATATTTAGCTTGTGACTAAGTGGCTACTAAAAAAGACTGGACATACCCCATTTTCAATACCTTGGGTTGTCTACTATTGCAAATGGTATGCCATTATAGGGGTAATTTTCATTCTTGGGCTACCATAGGGTCTCAAAGGCAACCTAACCAATCTTGCGAATTTTAATGTGAAAAAAATGAAACACAAGCCTTATATTACACCATAAAACCTGTACATGAGGGGTACTGTTGTACTTGGGAGACTTCGCTGAACACAAATATTTGTGTTTCAAAACAGTAAAAAGTATCGCAGCAATAATATCGTCCGTGTAAGTGCTGTTTGTGCGTGAAAAATGCAAAAACTTCACTTTTACTGGCGATATCATCGTTGTAATACATTTTACTGTTTTGAAACACTAATATTTGTGTTCAGCGAAGTCTCCCGAGTAAAACAGTACCCCCATGTACAGGTTTTATGGTGTCTTGGAAAGTTATAGGGTTAAATATAGTGCTAGCAAATTAAATTCCCTATACTTTCGGCATGGGTTGTCAGGCAGGTCCCGCTAATTGTAATTAATTAAAATACCTAATTATGTAAAAATATTACATAAATATATATGTAGAATTAATATATGTATGTATATATATATATATATATATACAAATGTGTGTATATATATATATATATATATATATATATAATTTTTTAAATATTTTTATTTATATATAGGTATATATATAGTGTATATATTTATGTATATAGATATATATATTATTTCGTTCTACGTGTATTTTGATATAAATATATATATATATATATATATAAATATCACAATACAGTTAGAACAAAATAACACACATCTATATATTTTTTAATTTTTATTTTTAATTATTTTTTTAATTTTATTTTTTAAAGTATTTAAATTTTTTTATATTATATATAAATATATATATAACAATAATTATATATATATTTAATCAATATCAGTCTACGTGTAATTTGATATATATATGATCTAATTATATATTTTTTTATTATTTTTTTACACTGATTAATTTTATTTTATTTGAATTCAGCCAGCAGGGGGACTAACTGTCATTACAGGCAGTCCCCCTGCTGGCAATGCAGCAGCCAGCTAACCCGGTCATGTGATTGTGAGGTCCTCACAAGGACCTCACTCTCACATGGCCGGGGGGGCCGGAAGAGGCAGGATCTGCCGCGGGGGACTCCCTGGGGGCGACTGGGTAAGTAAAAAAAATGGAGGGCGTACTATTACGCCCTGCGGCATTTAGAGCCGCTTAGAATAGGGCGTAATAGTACGCCCTCCGGTTTTAAGGGGTTAAAGGTTATGTTCTATAAGTTTCCTTACCAAAGCCCAATAAACAAAAAAAAAAATTATGTTTATGGGATGTTAGTTTCTCCACCTTCCAAAATAGAGTTATGTAAAGTATATATCAAAATAACCATTTTGAGCTAGACTAGACTTGGAATTTTAAAATTTTTGGATCTTTGCTATTTAATCTTAATGTCATAAATTGTTTATCTTTTGTTTATTTCTTAATTTTGGAATTAATAACTTGCAATCTACTGTACCATCCTGTCAGGATCATATCCTGATGACAGAATCTAGTTTCTTTTATTTCTATTTCTTTAAAAAATGTTCCAGTTTTCTCCACTAGTGGACTCCCTAGCCACTAGACTGAAGAAACTTTCTCTCACCTGCCTCTCATATCAGTTAGACCTGCTATAAGAGGCCACACCCTGCTACACAATTTGCCTTGACATTAAATGTAGTTGTGTTCTGATACTGGCTCCTACAAAAACCTGTTATATCCTGGAAATATTTATTTCAACCTGCTACTTTCCAAGCTTACATATTACTAATACGTTTGGAGAATACCTGCTTATTAACCATACATTTGGACAAAATCTACTTGGACAAAACCTACTTACTAATGATATACTTGGAGGTAACCTAACCTGCGAATGCTAATTGTATCCTACATTATTGGAATTGAGTTTAATATTGAATTGTCACTGCATTTACGGAAAATTATTTAAGTGAAGATTCCAAACACCCTTGAAGATTATAATTCTAAAGGACTCTAACTCATATATCCAAAACCTGCTATACAACCTGCAAGCCAAAAGTGGCATATCCACCAAATGTCTCTTACCTGTATTGCTTTATCCTTTTATAATTCTATTTTAACACTGTCTATTGTATTTTGTTTTTCGTGTAACCTATAATTCTCAGTTGTAGGTTTTCTCTTTTTTTTTTTTTTGGTACACAATACTTGCCTCTTAAGTACATTAATTGATTCTTCTTTTTTCCCTTTTCTATATTCTCTCTTCCTAAAAGTCCTGCTATTTTTATTATTTTCAAGACAAATCATGTCTAAGATAAAAAAAAAAAAGACCCTGCAATTAACCATAGTTTCAGTCTCATCTCTGACCTGATCAGAAGCATGACACATCCTATATCAACTGATTAGTGCATGTTAACTGTTTAAATCTAGAGTGGTACAAAGTGGATTTCACTAAGAGCATTTGTATCGAAAGGAGTGTATTTAAAGAAGGATGCTTTTTGAGGGAAATTATAGGACATTGGAGGTACCCTTTTTCGTGTCTTTTCTTTCAAGAATGGACGTATGACAGTATACAAGGCATGGATATACCAGGGTTGATTGACAAAATGGATTCCTCCAAAACGTGCAGGAAAGCTATCCTATAAAACAGGGAAAAACAGTTTGTAATCCATCATACTATGTAAACATACCAATCAGATGTATCATACATTTTTCATAGTAATCCAGTAAAGCTTAAAAAGACTTGCACATAATAAATATGGTTTGATGTATAATTCATACTAGCCTCCAGAGGCTTCCTCAAAGCAAGCTGCTTGTAACAAAAATGCTATTTTTATCATGTCGTCTAACCCTGTGTTTTTTTTTTTTTCAAAATAGACCATAGGATGCAAAGAAAAGTAGCAATTTTTAACATCTTTCATACAATATATGCTTAAACAGTAAATTAAGAAACAAGTGATGATACCAGTCAACCAAATTAACAGATATATTGGAAAACATTTACAAAAAAGTCATATTTACCAAACCAGAATTGCAACAATATTCTGGAGAAAGTGTATATTAACCAACACAGAACATCCCTTTTAAATGTACTACTTTCTCCCAGATTTGCATGTCAAGTACTGATATTGTTTTAATAGGAAACACATGTGTCTTATAATACAACATTTGCTCATAAAATTGAGTTGACAATGATCCAATGTAGAATGCTTTTGAAAAGCCACTTTAGTGCGGTCCATATGTATTTGGATTTACCAAGGTTTTTATATTTTATGTCCGTATGTTAAATTCAACATTGATTACATGAATTATGTGCACTGGTATATTATTTATATATATATATATATATATATATATTTTAGGGTAGTCTGCATTTAACCCCTTAAGGACACATGACGGAAATATTCAGTCATGATTCCCTTTTATTTCAGACGTTGTGTCCTTAAGGGGCTATGGGACCAAACATAAGTGAATAATTGGATCTGCAGTGGTTTCTGATGCATGCGCGTCATTCTTTTAGTAACAATACATCTAACAAGATGACTATAGGTATTACTTTTCTTTCACAATATGAGTAGCAGTAGAAAAGTCTATATCAAGTGAAAAACAATGTGAATAAACTGATCAGAGATGTAGCCAAAACTTTAACTGTGTCAAAATCAATTGTGTGATGTATTATGATAAATCCTAAATGCACTGAGGAACTCAGCAATAGCAAACAGCGTGGCACACCACTACAAGATGAATGAAAAATGTGTATAACAGTTGGAACCTTTTTTTTACACATATTGACATTGCTCAATATTGAAATTATCAAAGAGAACTAGAGAAAATGGCATCAGCATATCCTGAGATACTTTGGCTCCAAGACTGCAAACCACCAATAACATATGTCGCTAGGGGACATTTGAATCTAGAGTCCTGGATATTTAGTTCTTAAGGTTTTTTTTTGTTTTTTTTCTATTTATTTTTTCATCAATCAGTTCTTGAAGCTACTACCCATTATAAACAGAAAAAGTTTACAGTACTCCTCCAGGTTACCTAGGGGGAGCTCTAGAGCAGAATCTTGATGTATACCTCTATTAGTTAGATAGTATGACAGGATTGCATTAAATACCTAACAGTACAGCAAGTGCTTGTTTCAGGCTATACTTTCATTGTGATCCTAAAAAGCATCCACAGCAGACGGAAGAAAATCAGCTAGCCTACTAAAAATTACAATAACAACTATAGTGTTCTTTAATACAGTGTACGGTACTAAAGATATACAACTTAACCTGTTCCAGTTCCACAGTGACTAAAAGAGGAAACCGTGGAAAAAATTTACATTTTAAGTACTACTAAAAATATAGCTTCATGTATTGCTGTAGTACAATATGTATTTAGGTGCTCTCCCCTGTGTTCAAGCAGTTTGACAGAAAACAGGGCTCTCCTTACAGCAGGCACAGTGTGACATTGGTGGGCTCCAAGATTTGGGCTATGTTACACTACTCCAAAAACAAATCAATCTATTCATCTGGCAGGGGAAAAGACCAAGAGTAGACATATCCACACTGTATCAACCCAAAAGCACACTGGGTTGAGCATGCACAATGTGCAACTATACCACAGAGCAGCTGTATTAGCTAGCCTCTTTTCCATCACCCAAGCAACGAACTGTCCCCAATGGGTCTACATAGAACAGCACTGGCTGCAAAACCAAGACATTAAAACAGTGATGTAGCTGTCCCCCCACCAAAAAGGGGACGCCTTCCAAGCACTTCCAGCCACTTTGCCAAAGCAAAAAATCTGGGATATCTCCCGCGGACTCCTGTGCAGCCGCCACCCGACCCCCCGCTCAGCCCCCATTAAAGTAGTAGCGCAAGTGATACCTGACTTCAACTATAGAGTTTGGAACAGGTGTTGGGTGTCTTATGTACACACCCTCCTGGACAAAGGCAAACGAGCCACATTTGACGAACTAAAAAAGACTGCCGAACACCGCGCACCACTCTTACCTACAATTGTCATCCTGTGGAGAACCCACATACTACGTCCCATGCTAGCACTAACCTAACGGCCTTTGAAAAGCTTATTACAGCAGAGAAACCGGTGAAAAAGCCCATATCCACCATATATGTGCTATTAGTGCCCAGACATATAATTAAATCCCTTACTTGTGTACACTCCTGGGAGAAGGACCTTGGTCAGACACTGTCAGAACAAGCCTGGCTAGCCTCGGCAAATGCAACCAGAGGTATAACATCCTGTGCCTGCCACCTAGAGATAACCTTAAACTTTTTTACCGCTGGTACATGGTCCCTACACGATTAGCCACTATGGACCCATCGATGTCCAGCACCTGCTGGCGGTGCAAGAAAGAGACTGGCTCATTACTCCATACCTGGTAGAACTGTTCGAAACTCCAACCATATTGGAGTGCAGTCATTTCATTAATACACCAAAACACCTTTGTCATGATACCGAACTCCCCAACCTCTTTACTCTTATTTATGTTCAATGCCAACTACCCTAGACCAATAAAATACTTAATATTCCACATACTCGTGGCAGCCCAACAGTTTATTGCAAAAACCTGGCTGTCACCAACTAATACATCAATGCAAGAAATAATCAGACATATCTCCCAAATTGGGAAATATAAATCCAATATATCACGTGTACCGCCTCACAAGAGTTGGAGACATGAGGTATGGGAAAGTTGGGAGCTGAAACACCTGACTTGAATGTCAGTTTTATAGGGATGACACACACCGCACCTAAACACGGGGCCGCCACCGGGTCATAAAGATATCACAACCAGCAAGCCATCGCGAGGCATACCTAAGCACAAGCGGAAACCATATGACCATAAAACCATGAAGCCATACTAATGCCAATGTGCCCAAAACCCTCATTACAACTAGGATGTGGATGCTACAACCTCCTTCCTTCCCTTTTTAATCCTCCACCCTCTAAAGCTGCTCCCGCTCACGCTACCTACCTCCACATTCCAGTACCTGGGCGAGGGCATTCTAAAACAGAATGACCCTCCTACGGGCCGACACAGACAGAAAGACTCCATCTTGGTCCACAGTCCACAAGAGAAATAAATGTGATCACCTCAAATTCAGTTGTGTAATGTAATGTAGGAAAATGATGCGAGTTTACTGTATGCAATGTCAAACTACTTTCCTTTTAACCCCCCCTTCTTCCTTTCTGTACCATCCACCTGTTTAAGACAAAATAAAAATTGTCAAATTGGGAAAAAAAATTGAATGTTTGTGACTGACAGAGACAATCACCCCATCTGACTCTAACTGAGAATTAATTTTACTTGCTAAGACAAGACAAAGAACAAGTGCCCCAAAACAAACAGGATGATTGCTGCAGTACAGGTTTGACAGATCATTAGAAGAGAAGATGGCTGCCTAATGTCTGATATGTCTGTGGATTTTAGATTCCAGGATTTTATTAAATGCAAAGTATTTGCAATCAAGTACTTCACTTGACAGCTTTGTTTAAGGTTATGCTAATATGTCCTATTCAGATTTATCCACTGAAATTAAGTGACTGATTTATTGAATTTCCTATGCAGTTCAAGGTCTCTGGTAAAACATGCACCCACATGATACATTTGAAAACCAGTTTATTAAAGTAAATAGTTAGATAGTACAACTTGTCCCTGTCCAAATATAGATGGACTGCATTGCAAATTAGACTGGGGGAAGACCATTTAACCTTAGAAATGGCAGATTTCAAATCCCAGAAATTCAAATTTTATTAAAAGGCTACATAATAGTGAGAGTCAATGATAGACTTTTTCAGTATGAATGTCAGTTCTAACTAGACTCTAGGATGCATAACATGGGAAGATTATTTTTTATATTAATACTGTAAGCAAATGTACATGCAAACATACACACACAGATATATATATATATATATATATATATATATATATATCTAACATATCTGACTACCAGGGCAGAAACAGTAAAGTGACCAAGAAATCTTATTTTTGGTCTGCCTCATGCAGAATCGAACATAGTTTGCATAGTCACATAGGCTGAAAAGAGACATGCCCATCAAGTTCAGCCTTCCTCACATCCGATTTTTGCTGTTGATCCAAAAGAAAGGGGGGAAAACAGTGTGAAGCACTTTCAGTTTTGCAACAAACTAGGAAACAAATTCCTTCTTGACCCCAGAATGGCAATCAGATGTATCCTTGGATCAAGAAGCTATTACCCTACAGTTAAAAAAAATATATAATTGAATATTATGTTTTTGCAAATAAACATCTGTACATATCTGATAAAACCACTTCTTTAGGCAGATAATTCCACATCCTTATTGTTCTTATGGTAAAAAAACCCCAAAAACTATCTTTTGCCTTAGACTAAATCTTCTTTCTGCCAGTCTAAACACATGACTTTGTGTCCTATGTATAGTCCTGTTTGTGAATATATTTCCACACAATGGTTTGCATTGGCTCTGGATATAGCTGTATAATTTTATCATATCCTCTCTGAGGCAATGTTCTTCTAAACTAAAGAGGTTAAATTTGTTATTTCTTCATAGCTAAAATGTTTCATTCCTTTTATTAATTTTCTAGCCCAACTCTGTACTCTTTCCAGTGCCAAAATATCCTTCTTTAAAACAGGTGCCCCAAATTGCTCAGCATATTTAGTATGTGGTCTTATCAGTGATTTATAATATCATGATTTGACATGACAAGACATTTGACATGAGTTAACATATTATATATTTTTGTTGATTTCTCCATATGATAAGCAATAATTGATGGGCATATTGTAAAGATGTGTATACCATCAGATTAATATTATAGGTTTATATTTATTCAATTTGAAAGCATATTTTCTTTTTAAATCAAATAAGAAAAATAGAACATGTACTTTATTCACCATCCCTAATGTTTAGTGGTATATTTGCATAAATTTTATTGTCTCAAAACGTTAACTTTTTGCCAATCCCTTTATCATTGTCACTAACGTTATAGTTAATTTTATTTAGGACAAAAAAATAAGCAAAAATCTTGACATGACCTGGATTGAAATGTACTATATTACTCATTAGAGGATAATAATTCTGTAACTGTATTCTGTAAAATTCTTTGTGAACAGTTTCTCTGTCCAAATCTGCTCACGGCAGACCAGATCTCTCTTATATGAGATGAGTAGATAGAACATCAATTTTCCCATATATATTAATAGAAGATCTGTTATTCAGTTAGCAGAACTAAGTTTAAAGAAACACTATAGCATTTGGAATACAAATAAGTGTCCACGGCACCCACCTGTAGGAAGAAAAAAAATATTTTACTTACCTTTTCTACCTGGCAGTGCCCACCTCCTTGGCTGAGATCATTGAGATCGATTATCTGAGTACAATTCAATGCTTTACCATGTAAAAGAATCGGGAGGCTAGTGCACATGCACAGCAAAACACTTTGCTGCGCCAATGAGATGGTCTGTATGAGACAATCTACTTGAAATAGCAAAGTTTACTGAATGATAGCCACTATAGGAATTTAAACAATGCCGTTCTGCAGAATGGCAATGTGTTCACTTGCAAGGTTTAAACTTGGGGTGGAGTGGTGGTGTCTGGGTGCCTTTTGTGTACCTTTAACTCTTGTAATAGAATACATCCTTATAAGCGTAAACCGAGTTTCTAATATTCCTAAATCTAACTGAATGTAATTACTCTTGACTGAGTAAGGATGACATGATTTATATTGTAGTAGGTAAAATACTGCCATGGGCTTTCTATATAATTTGATTGCCATCTTATTATCTTTCATTTTAACCATTATGGTAACAATTTTAATGTTGTTCACATCATATTTCAAAGTTAACTGCAAACTCCAATTACCATTAACATTTTTCTGAAATGTCTACCTTTGGTTATTTTCTTAGACCAAATGTCAGTATAATCTACAAATCTATGTCATTCATCAATCGTAGATTTTGCATATCTTAGTACATAAATCAGGGGTTTTTCACCAACCTCAGAAATGGTATTTTCATCAGATTGTAGGTATTTATTCACAGCTGATTATTTAAGAGATTCTGCTATTCCCAATGCAAGGTAGACCTACTGGTAAGAGTCTAATCAAAGAAATATATTTATTTATTTTGTTGTAGAGCTATTTAAATATACATAACTATCAATTGTCTATCTACATCATGGGAAAAAGAAAGTACATTCATAACATTCTATGGTATTACATATCAGGGCATAATGTCAATCATCTGCTCCTTAGCAGGTCTTAAAATTAGATAAATACAACTTCAAATGAACAACAACACATGACATATTACACGGTGTCATGATTTAATTAGAAAAAATAAAGCCAAAATAGAGAAGTCATGTGTGAAAAAATATTTTTGTTTTCTAAAGTAAATGATTAAATTTTAAACTGAATTTTTTTGTGTGTGTGCACTGTTCCCTAATCTGTGATTTGGGTATATATATTGGTCTTTACGGCAGCACCACTACTTAGAAATGCAAGTTTCGGGTGTGCCCACCCCAATTCCCCTTTTTAATTAGCTCCATAGCCTGATATGGATAGAGAAGAAAATACATAAATTTGGGACATATGGACATGCACCATGCATAAATTATTATTATTATTTTTTTAGGAGCTCCACCCAGCTTTCCTACATTCAGGGCCGCCACCAGAAATTTTGGGGCCCCTAACTGAGTTCAGGGTCTGGGCCCCTGGGAGCCCGCCTCCAAAACCGCCCACAGAGACCACCTCCAAATCCCGCCCACAGGAATACACACACAGACACAAACACATTCACTGATACAAAAGGACACAGATACACACACACACTGATACATACTAACAGACACACACACATACTGATACGCATATATGGACATACATACTGACATACACACATATACAGACACACAGGCGTACATAGTGACAGACACATACTAACATACATACAGACACATGCATAAGGACATACAAACATTCATAATGACATACAGACAGACATTCATACTGGCATACATACATTCATACAGACAGACAGACATACACACATTCATAATGACATGCAGACATACATACACTGACATTCATACACACATAATGACATGCATACAAACATGCATACAGGCATACATACATACAGACATACATTCATACTGGCATACATACATTCATTCAGACACTGACATCCATACATTCATAATGACATACAGACATACATTCATACTGGCATACATACAGACAGACAGACATTCATACACACATAATGACATGCATACAGACATACATACATACAGACAGACATACAGACATGCATACAGACATACATACATACTGGCATGCATACATTCATACAGACACTGACATCCATACATACACACATTCATAATGACATGCAGACATACATACACTGACATTCATACACATATAATGACATACACACAGACAGACATACATACACACAGACATAGACATACATACAGACAGACATTCATACATACAGACATACATACATAATGACATATATACATACACACAGACATAGACATATATACAGACATACATTCACATACACATACACACACAGCTCATTCTCCAGCCACCCTCCTGTCTCTTACCTTGTCTTTGCAGGAGGGTGGCTGGGGCTGATGGGACTGGGAGTCGGCTGGCTCTCCCTCTTCATTGCCGGGCGCGCTCTCCTCCCATGCGGAGTGAGCTGGGAGGAAGTGACCACTTCCTCCCAGCAGCACTTGCACTACGGCTGTATTTTTTATTTTTTTAAAGGGGCCTGGTCGCGCTATACCACGGCCACAGTGCTGACTGGGCCCCTGTAGATATGGGACACATCGGGTGGCCTTAAGTGCGTGGGCCACCCGATGGGCCCCATCAGCGTGCGGGCCCCATTATGGTTGTCAACTCCTGATGGCGGCCCTGCCTACATTAGCCTAGTGGGGGCTGTGATCACTTTGCTTTGCCTTGCTACACAGCTCTAATGTACACCTTGAAGTGATGCCGAAGCCACAGCAAAGTCACACATATATGTGCTTCACAAAACACAATCAATTTTACGTCGTAAATGATATTGTATCTATACTGTTTTATATTATAGCATAAGTGGATAATCAGATATCTCTAGAACATTTTGTCTCCTTCAAAATCTTTCTAATGGTTTAATGAATTTAATTCTTTCATTGTCCCTGACTAGTACTTTATATATAGAAATTATATTTTATTCCATATGAATCATTTGTTTCAAATAAATGTTAATAGCTTTTGGTTAAACTACATCCATTCATGTAGATATTTTCATCCATTTTATGCATTCTATTTATTTTTTATTTCTTGTTGAAGTATATCACTAAATATCTCTAGAAAACATGGTTAAATATCACTAAAGAAATAAGTAAACTTGGCTCTTAAAGGTTAATAAGTATATGATCTCATACATTGCAAATCTCAGTAAAGAAGAACTACCTAAACATGTCACAATAGATATATAGAAAAAGGATTTATTCAGCAGGACATTGCCTTTTTCAGATTGTCACATGGTTTAATTGAAGGCAGATGAGGCTATTACAAAAGGTCACAGCGTAATTTTGGAGTCTTGCTAAATTTCTATCTATCATTGAGATGACAAACTAGACTCTGACTAGACTAGTTCAGCACATATTTTTTATAGATAAACATTGCTTGAGTGCACAAAGATAGTGTCACGTCCCAATAAGCATCAAACACTAATTCAACAACCTCATTATTACTTGTGTGAGGGTTTTAAAAAGCTACACATATTGAATACAGTGGAAACTGGAACATTGGAGTAAATTTCTGAATATTCACATGTATAACTTTATCCATGAATAAATATTTTCTACCCTAAAGTAATATATTATCAAAAAGTTATACGTCTTTAAAACAAAAGTGCATGAAATCTATGTTTTTACCTATTAAATAGAGAGGCGCAGAAAGACAGGGGGTCATTGACCTAAAGCTATACATTCACTCTGGTAGCTGACCACCACCAAAACTTTAAGACTTTTTAGGAGAACCAAATATCCCTGGGTGTGTTAAAGTGGGATTGTCACTTCCCAGAATATTTAATATTACGTGTCACAGGAGGGGGCTCCAGATGCTTGTTTAAACCCACAGCTGGAGTTGGTTGAACTTTGGGGATCACCAGAACCTATTCACCCTCTGAGCAACTGACAAGGAGATACCCTGAGACTATGTGTCACTATTTGCTGAATTGGAACGGTATTGCGATCTGGTGAATCTCTAACCGGTTATTGCTCGTGTCCCAAGCCATCTATTACAACACTCTTCAGAGGGAATTCCATGAGGGTGAAGAGGCATCTGGGGTTACCCTGGAGTTAGGGTTGCCACTTTGCTGAGGGCTCCTGTAATGCCCTCAATGTTCCTTCCAATTGGAAGGAGCATTGAAAGAGACCTGTGTATGCCTATGAGATGCAGGTTTCCATTGACACCATTAACATTAATGACAACCAGAGTGTGTTATCAGAGTCCTAATCACTTGCTCATCTCACCATGAGATTACTGACAAACACTTCCAGGGACATTATACATCCTTCTGTATTCTAGTAGCCTGGTCATCTTCAAATACCGCAGTCCACCAACAAATATCCCAAAGGCCAGTGAAATCATTCTGAGTAGAGGTCACCATCTCATGTTCAAACCCATACAGTGCTGATCTTTGCCAACCCTCCCATGTCAGTGAACTGAAAGGAAATTGCTCTCTGCCCCTCTTTACCATGCCTCCCATGAGAGTATATGATGTTCTGATATTGATGTGCTTGTAGTGATGCCACTGAGGGAGGAATGCCCTGCTTGAATTTGCTACAATGTTTTAATACTGTGATATCCATAGACATTTTAGTATGGCAGTGCTGATAAATGGCGGTCAGAATAATAAATTATACATTTAGTGACTTGTTATAGAACAACGTGAATCTGGCATAACAGCAGTGCAGTATCTTTAATGAGGCTAAGAAGGCATTTGTCTTGGGCAAAGAATGGCACCCCACCAATCGCCCTGGCAGATGCCCTGCTAGCCTCTTTTCTGACTGACTGACCACCTCAGGGCCCCCTGAAGAAGACAGCAGCTAATATTGCAGACGAACGACGAGGGAGCGCTATCTTCTGAGCTCTTCCTGCTCAACTCCCTTGTGCACCCCGCAGTAATGCCGGGAGCCAGACGATTATTTCACTCCGGCCCCCACTGAGCAGTGTGCGAGGGAGGGGAGCAGGAGCATTACAGCTCCCACATGCCTAGCGAACCAGCCAGTCCAGCAGCCCAGCAGCCCAGCAGCCCAGCCACCCAGCCAGTACAACATCAGCCAGCCCCACTTGACCCCAGGGAAGAATCCACTCCAACTCTCCCAAAGGTAGGGAGGTTGAGTGGATTTAAATTAAAATTGTAAATATATATATATAATCTGTAAATGTATGTGTGAGTGTGAGTGTGTCAGTATCAGAGTGCCTGTGAATGAATGTGTGTGTGCCTGTCGGTATGTGTCTGTGAGTGAATGTGTGTGCCTGTCAGCACATTTGTGTGACAGTTAGTTAATGTGTGTGTCTGTCAGTATGTGTCTATGAGTGAATGTGCATGTGCCTGTCAGTGTGTGTCTGTGTGAATGTGTGTGTCTGTAAGGGTGTATCTCTTAGTGAGTGTATCTGTCTGTCAGTGTATGCTGTGTGTGTGCATCTGTTAAGCTGTTAGTAAATTAGTGGGTGTGTCTGCTAGTGTGTGTCTGTTAGTGAATGTGTGTGTGTCTGTCAGTGAATGTGTCAGAAACTGTGTGTATGTCAGTGTGTGTCTGTCTGTGAAAATATGCCACTGTATGTGAATCTGGGAGTGTGTGCCTGCCAGTGAGTGAGTGTGTCAGTGGGTGTCTGTCAGTTAAACTGTTTGTTGGTCTTAAACAGGAAGAGGTGCGGCCTCAACGGGAAGAGGCTTAGCGAATTTAGATTGGGAGTTGCCTAAATTTCATCATGCCTAGAGTAGAAACAATCCAAAATACAACACTGCATGACAGGTTCACCTTAAATAAAGAAAACCTGAGTAATTTTTACAAAATGTTGAATTTTTGTTGTGTTTTGGCAAAAAGAATTTTACGGGCAGCAATATGCATGCATGTGTAATGTTACTTGGGAAAAACTGTCAAAACCAAAATAATCTATATTAACAGACACATTTAAAAAATTACATTATGCCTTGTTTTAATTGAAACTTTTTGGAAAATAAATTGCCTCAAGGGTTGAATTTGGGTAACAGGTGGTTAATGAGTAAGAGCATAAAGAGACAAAAAAATATTTCATGTATATGTGAAACAGATTGCACAAGTCGTGGGTTTCGCTTTTGTAGATCACTATGGAAAGAAATGAACTGGCATTATACACCCACAGATTCTACCCCTCACAGAACATCAGTAAACTGCACTTAAAGACACAATTGTGTTATGCATTCTCTTGCACACAATACATAACATATTTGTTGTATTACTACTGTTGTGATAGAAGCAGAACATTATCTATTAAATGCTAAAAATGTTAAGAAACAAAATAGAAATTGGCTATAAGATTATTACATTGAGAATAAAGATTGCATAGAGAAATTTAGAGCTTAAGCTATAAGATACAAAATATCACCCTTACAAATTAAAGTGGAAAGATATAATGTGGAGGTAAAACAAATATGGTTTACCTATATAGTAGTTTTCAACACTGTAGAACTAACAAACAGGACTTCTTCCAGTCCTCACAACAAGTACATTCAATAGAATGGTTCTACAGTCGGAACATAATAAAACTCATAGTGTAGTATCATAAATACACCATATAGTAGTATTTCAGGTTGCACTCGCAAACGAATATTGATTGAAGCCACATCAATTATTAAAGTTGGCAAAAGATCTTCCACACGTGAATGGGCATGTAAGAGACAATAAAAGCAAATAATAAATGCAGACTGTTTTTTAACCTGGTTTTGATTGCTATGTGACTATTCATTGTTTCCTAATTGATGATGTCACCAGCATTATTGTTACAGTGGATGTAGGTTTGGTTTCTTAATTTTCTCCTCCTTTTCAAGGTACTTATATGTGCTACTTGACTGTGATGAACACACATGATTAAGGCCAGAACGTTGGATCTATTTTATTTGTTTTGATCCACGATCAATATGTTTTGATTTCACTCTGCGTTGTGACACCTGTGGTCACCTACTTGTATGCTGTTCCTGGTGGGTGGCAGACCCCCTCCACGGAGCTACCATGAACATTTTACTTGTGTGCAGCACTCCCTTAAACTTTATACATTTATTAGAGATGCTGTCATGTCACATATTGCAATATGCTTTTATGCTACAATAGCCAAATGTTGCTTTGTACATAGATGTATGCAAGAATGGCAAGTAAATACATAGGGGGGTTATTCATTGAAGTCCAAACTGTAAATAAATTTGAATGGCAACAGTTTGAATTTGCATAATAAGACTAGTTTTGCTAATGAGTGGTGAATATTTTTATATCTGTGCATACACAGATATATATGCTTAAGGTATGAGGGTGTCTCCTGGTGGGGGTAACTTCTTATAAATAGAATTTATAAAAGAGAGAATTTATAAAACAGGAGAATAGATAGGGAGAAGGAACAAATGCCAAATAATCCCAAATTAGTGGATAAATAAACCAACAGAGGTATTTTTATAAAAAATATAAAACATAACTTTATTAAGTCAAATAAATACTAAATTTCTTATACACCAGTGAATTATAGAGAGTTTAACCACCACCTAAAATTCTTTTTAAATATAAAAATATATATTATAGAGCACCCACTAACAGTAAATTCATAGAAGCATGAGCTTTGTCTGAAAGTGAAATAAGTGTAAATACTGAGCTAATAGGTATATCTCATTAGTCTGCTTGGGTTTGTAGATATGGTAATAGTCAAATCAAGCAGAATTCGAAAGATTTAATAATTGGAGCAATAATTTCTGAAACTGTTGTTTCACTAATGTGCTATTTCTGGCAGAACTGAAAGAGTTAACGTAAGCAGCAATGAGGAAATCAGTATCATTAAATCACACTGTTAAGGTTAAGAAAGGGATACAGTCGTACAACCGTGCCGGCAGTGAGATTGTATCAATTTATGGTATGAATCTTAATGTTGCTAAATTATTATATATATATATATATAGCAGGCGTGAAGATAGGAACAAGTTTTGGTATCAAGGGGATCATTGTAATACAATTGTGGTCTAACAGGTTAATAAAGTGGATAAGTAAATTGCACGTGGGTAATTTCTAGCGGTTTACTAATCTGTGCCTTCAAGGGCACCCCTTGACCAAATGCCTATCTCAAAATAGTCTTGGCTATATCTTTCCCTTTTCCCGCCCCCCCACACAACAGTATTTGGTAATAATTTAAAATCGTAACTCTAATAATTGCAAGGTTTAAGCTAGATCACCTATAGAAAGATTTGGAGTTAGGTAGCTTCAAATTGTGCATCTATCAGTACCACTGATACACGTTTTGCCTATGACTCAGAGGGGAGCCAGACAAAGAGATTGTCTGTCTGGTTTTAAATAGGGTTAGAAGCTCTGTTATTGGTCAATTAAAATTCTAAGGGACCAATCAGATTTTATTAGAAATGTGATGATTGGATGTTTATTTCAATCTTGTTTTAATACTTGATTGGATTGAATTGGTTCCTAATTTACATCTAGGTGAGGTCTTTTAAGGATTTTAATAGTGGATTTTCAGTTATGTGACTGATGTGGAATCAATTAATTGATTATCTTGTGTATCTGCCCCCGGCCAAATTAAAGCAGTAGTGCGTGCACACTCCTAAAGTAATTCACACCAGACACAGGTTTCGGGTTAATGAAAAACTTGAGGAATGTTTATTCTGAGGGGACGGCATGCCCCTTACAAAGCAAAATTACATCATATGCTTTGTCAGAGATAGCATGAAATAATACATCAATAATTGGTTAGGTGTTAAGTGGTTCATTTATTGCTCTTTCTACCGGGTGTGATGTCACTGGTATCTTGGAGGTCTCCCCCAGATTCCAGCGCCATCTTGTTAGTGAGGGTGTTAGTCGATGTCAAAGGGAAATTCCCTAGTGGCCATCTTAGGTAAATCACATAAAAAGTTGAATAATACTGATTGTAGGTATGCTGTGTAAATAGGCATTTTACTAACATAAATTCAGTTAATATTTTTGTCCACGACAGTCCCCCCTTAAAATGACTATTTACTAAAGAGACTACTAACTGACCCTAATAATATCCCTACTTGGCTGCAGCTCATCTGTCTGAACAGGCCTAGAACGCTTCACTGCGCGGGTATCCCATAGTGGCTAACCCACTACATCTCCCGCGTCAGACTTCTACCCATGGAGACAGATGCTGTCCCTATGCTGTCCCTATAAAGAAGCAGTTGTCCTTTTGAGGTGGTGGGACTGGAGAGGTGTGTGTGTGTGTGGGATATCACAGTCCATGTCGTCGATATCTTGATGTAGGAATGTAGGTGTGGTGTGGTCAATGGTCTGACTTACAGTCTTCTGTAAGTATTTCTGCACACAGGGCATCACACAGCAAGTCAGGAAGAGAAAGAGAATTACCACAGTAAGAACCGCCATACCTACTTGAAGGAGAGTTTTCTGCCATCCACTCATCCAACCAAACCATCTGTCCTATGAATTGGGGACTCCCGAGTTCTTTGTTAATTCATCAGAGAGACTTTCTAATTTCTCTATGGCCATAGTTACCTTATGTAATGGATCACCTGGCACCCCGACTGGGTACCTCCGTTGAAGGATGCTTCTAGTGCTTCCTGAGGGCTCCAAGCACTCCAGCTGACACCATAACCACTGTAGACTCATCCAGAGACAGGAACAAGCTCCAACAAGAGCTTAGTAGTGATAAAGCAAGGAAGTATGACTAGCATAGCAATCCCTTGTAGCAGATTCCCCCAGTAACGAGACAACACTTCGTTTTGAGGTCAAGCAGAACTGGTTTACTGGGGCTAACTGCCCTGCTTTTATGCAGGTCTCCCACCTGGTGGACACTCCCTTAGGGGACCAGATGGGAGACTGGGACACAGAGGGTAAAAGGACCAATCACAGACTTACACATTTCAACAATCCCACAATGCATCACAATCCCTTCTCCCTGGCCTGGAGATAATTGGGACAGAGGCAAAACTCCATTACACACTGTTACCTTTATCCCACAAAACACACACATTCTACATATCCCCAGATAGCTTAGATCTGAGCGCACATTACTACCGAATGGCGCTCAGATCACATACATACAGTTCAATTGCCATGGAGCAAAAGTCTTTCTCATAGTCTTTCATTACATGAATAGGCTCCATGGCATGGCTATCTGGGGTGATGCTGTTCATACGGTCAAACTACCGAATGAACAGTGATTCGGTTCCACTACCGAATGCAGAGGTAAAGAGGCTGGCGGCTCAGCAGTGTTCGCGCAAATAAGTGTCCGTTTTCAGTTACATAGTTTGGGCGCTGAACACCGCTGGCCGTTTGGGAGTAAAAATGGCTGCTGCCATGTGTTCGGCAGACGAACAAAGGCCAATTGACGTCACACTCCAGTTCCCAGGTGGTCGATTGTTCAGTACTTTGTTCGGTAGATTGAATCTACCGAACATCCTGGCAGAAAGGCACGAATACACTTTTCTGCAGGGAAAATAAAAGGTTTTAAATGCCGGGCCATAGTCTAAAGGGAGCAGGAGAGCAACCAGGCTCCTCCAGTGGACAGTGACGAGGCTGGTTTCGCCACACCTTACCATTGGGGCCTGTATTGTCTGGGATGAAGGTACAGCATGTCATAGTATCGGGAAGTATTTTATACACGCCCCCCTTCTCTGCTAGTATCATGTCTCAGGCCATTCGATTCTGAAATGTCATTTGGGAGGTAGTTTGTAACTGTTCTGCCAAGCCCTGGAGGGCATCTCTCGTGTAATTGACAAAGCGTTGCTGATTATAGTAAATATAATTTATCCAATTAATGTTCTTGTTAGCGGTGATGAGTGGGATCAAGGATTCGAATCCTGCCGCAACCTCATCTCTGGCCTTGAACTTGTTTGGTACCCACCTTGGTATACCTATGGCATCAATATATATATATATATATATATATATATATATATATATATATATATGGGTCGAAACTACCTCGAACAGGGGTTTCTCTTTTTACCCTAAAATATGTGTGTGGTGAATCAAGTGGGCCTTGGTGGTTATCAGAAATTATATGTATGGGCATGATAGCTTTGGTCAGAGTGCATTCTCCCCACCACAGGCCAGTCATTTTAGATCTGAGCTGCATGTCACCACATAGCCAATAAATGTCTCCCACAGACTTAACATGATTTACTAATAGGGCAGTGGGAGGTTCTCGATAGGTAGTACAGTAGCCAGAAGGGAATTTACCAACAAATTTTCCTGTGGCTCCATGTATTTTGTAGCAAGTGTAGTTACCTGGGTACACGGTGATCCCATCAGTTGGCTTGATATTCCCTTGGGTTATTGGGTATACCTTTTTCCATGATTCACACACAGATGAGTTTGTTGGTGACTGCGCATAGAGACTTAGGAAACATATTTCAACATCTGAAGATGGGGTCTGGCCCCTCCACAAACACAACAGTTAGTTTTATTGTGTGAATTAGCATTATACCTCATCCACTCAAGCCATAGATTAGTATCCAAAAACCCGGTCTCCACAGCCATAGTGTCTTCAAAGGTGGGATTAGCAATGGCTACCATGTCTTTAAGGGTTTTAATGTGTGGTTTTATAGGGTTAATCGTCATGTGCGTAGAGTCGCAAGCATGTCTTGTAAATAGAAGGTCCCCAACTTGTTATATGAGCCACCCCCTTTTCAATACATTCCCATTACATACTCCCCAGCGTCCCCTGGGCTGGGATGTTCTATGTTTAAGGTAAGTTTCATTGGAGTAGACCCTGTTGGCTTACATAAGGTCATTCTGTGTAACAAGGGTTTCCCATGTCTGTCCACCCTATCCAAGGCGCTTTGTGGTCTGTAGCCCCATGGTCGGCCTATGTTCCAACCTGCTGCTTTCCAGGTATTACAATGATGTCCCCAATGGCCACCTGTCACACAAATGTAGGGGTCCTTCTTGTTCGGTATGTCTTTGTATATTGCTGAGTGTTGTGATTGCGGAAAGGTACAAGAGACAATATCACAGTAATCAAAGGTAAAAGTAGCTACATGTGTGTTTGAAGAGTTACACCAGAATGTGAAAACATGATTATCTTTGGTAATAGCAACTTGTTGGGCCTTTAATAGGCCTACCAGCAGAAATAGACACAGGAAGCTCATAGTTTAGCGGGATCTGCTTCCTCTGGATCAGGAACTTTCTTACATTGCGAGGCGTGTATCCAGGTATTCTTCCCAGCCAATTTTACCGAGGTAGATTTGGTCAATAGGACTTGGAATGGATCATCAAACCTTGGCTCAAGAGTGTGCTTTCTCAGGAATTTCTTGACCATAACCCAGTCACCAGGAAGGAGTTTATGTGTGCCTGTATTTGATTCTGGATCTGGAATAAAAGAAAACACCTGTGCATGGATTTTGGTCAAAGCATGAGAGAGTGCAATTATATAATCTACCATTGCATGTGACTGAATTTGGAGTTGTTGAGGAAAGTAACAGCCTAACCTGGGTGCTGTACCAAATAAAATCTCTTAGGGGGATAAGCTAAATCTCCCTCTTGGAGTGTACCTTACACTAAATAGTGCTATGGGAAGACTTTCCGGCCAGCGTAGGTTAGTTTCTTGGGCCATTTTAAGCATTCTGGCTTTCAAGATGCCATTCATGCGTTCTACCTTACCACTACTATGTGGGTGATAGGGTGTGTGGACTGTAAGGGTCACCCCCAGTGCTGCCCAGATTTCCTTGGTTAGCAACGCGGTGAAGGATGTTCCCTGGTCACTTTCAATCACCTTAGGAACTCCATATCTGCAGATGATTTCGGTAACTAGGTGCTTTGCTGTGGTCTTCGCAGTGAGATTAGTGACAGGAAAAGCTTCTGGCCATCCTGAACACATATCCACTATGACAAGTGCATATTCATACTGGCCACTTTTTGGCATTTGGATATGATTAATTTTGGTCCTTTTGGAAAGGGTACTGCGGCTTGGCCAAATGGTTTGGTGCGGCTTTAATTATTTTTCCCGGATTACATCTGGCGCAGATAGTACAGGATCTGCAGTAATTTCATGTCAAAGTGGTGATTCCGGGAGCTTTAAAATATTTATCAAAGAGTTCATGAGATGTTTAGATAAATGAGCTGGTCCATGGGCCCATTGGACGACAGCTGGGTACATACTCTTGGGTAGACAGAATTTGAGGTTGATAGTGTATACTTCATTCTGGAGGGTTGCCCCTTTATCTTTCCAACTTTGTTTTTCCTGAGTGGTGGCAGCGGCCTGCTGTTCTCTCAGGAGCTTGAGATCGGTGGGCAAGGTCTGCATAGTGTAAATAGGAGTCTGTTCAACGGGCACTCTTCTGTCCACTTCCCGACACTGGCGTGCCGCAGCTCTAGCAGCCTTATCGGCTAAGTAATTGCCACATGCTTCTTCTGAATTCAATCTCCCATGGGCCTTTACCTTCAATATTGCCAACCTCTTCATGGAGCAGTAAGGCATCCATTAATTCGTTGATAGCTGCGCCATGCTTCACCGGAGTACCTGCTGCTTTAAGAAACCCCCTTGTTTTCCAGATTAAGCCAAAATCATGCGCTACGCCCAGGGCATACCTTGAGCAGGGCCAGATTAAGAGCCCAGTGGGCCTGGTGCTGACAATTATGATGGAGCCTAATTACAGAATTTATTGACCAAAAACACTTAAACAGTCATACCTCTCAAGCGTTATGTATCTGATGGATTTGGTGTTGGAGGGAAACTCAAAGGATGCAGCTATAAGAAAATATATACTCTATGCTAATCTCTCTCTAATTTATGCTTTCATCTTTCAAATAAATCCATACCCCTTAACAGCAGTGTCCAGTGAAGCAGGAAGTTAATGGGGTAAAAGGGTGGGCCACTGACGCGAATCACATGACAAGAACTGCTAAAAGGGGCGAACATGCCCAAAAAGGGGGCATGTCTATCCAAAGAATTGGAAGGCCATCTTGACATCAGTGTCCCTATGTATCACAGTGTCAGTGTCCCAATGTCACCCAGTTCCCTAGTCTCCCAGTGTCTGTGTCCCCATTTCTCCCATTGTCACTATGTCTCAGTGTGTTCCATGTCACTAGGATACTAAGGGACACTGAGGGACATGGGGACACTGAGGGACATGGGGACACTGAGAGACCGGGAGACACTGAGAGGCCGGGGGACACTGAGAAACTTGGGGACACTAGGAGACATGGGGGAACTGAGACACTTGGGGACACTGGGAGACATGGGGGCACTTGTGGATACAGACATGAGGACACTGGGAGACATGGATACACTGGGAGACATGGGGACACAGACATTTGGGGACACTGGGAGAAATGGGGTCACAGACACTATGAACACAGAGACATGGGGACACAAACATTTGGGGAAACATACTAGGGATACTGGGAAACTAAGACATGGGGACACTGAGACACTAGGGACACTGGCTGGGAGGCATGGGGACACAGACACCTGGGGACATTGGGAGACATGGGGACACTGGGAGACATGGGGACACTGAGAGACATGGGGACACCAGGAACACGAAGACATGGGGACACTGAGACACTAGGGACACTGGCTGGGAGACATAGCAACACTGGGAGACATGGGGACACAGACACTAGGGACACTGGCTGTGAGACATGTGGACACTGGGAGACATGGGGACACAGAAATATGGGGACACAGAGACATGGGTACACAGACACTGGGAGACTAGGGGACACTAAGGACACAGACATTGAGACACTAGGGACACTGGCTGAGAGACATGGGGACACTGGGAGACATGGAGATACTGTGTCCCTAGTGTCTCCGTGTCTCACAGCATGCCCATGTCTCACAGTGTTCCCATGTCTCAGTGTCCCCTAGGGTCCCCATGTTTCCAAGTGTCCCCAAGTGTCTCAGTGTCCCCACATCTCCCAGTGTCCCCTAGTGTGTCAGTGTCCCCTAGTGTCTCAGTGTCCCCATGTCTCCCTGCTGCCTTTCCCCCCATCCTTCACTTACCTGAGCTGTAGTCTGTGTCTGCAGGCTGGGATCTGCTGTGTGGACTCTCTGTGCTGTGATCAGTGAGTAGAGAGAGGCAGGGAGATGCTGTAACTTCCTGTCCCTGCCTCTCTCCATACACAGTGACCCCTACTGGCCGGTGCTGGTATTGCAGAGTAATCCCCATTTATACTGAGGAAAATATTTGCATTTGTGTTGCCGGTACTACTGCAATACCGTCACGGCAAGGCAGCCTCAAATATTGGCTGTGCCTTAAAATACCAGTCAGGTGGCAAACCTAAGAGTAGTGTGTAAAAAAAAATGGACCTATTCCATGGGCCTGGGCCTGGGCCTGGAGCTGCAGCTCCATGAGCCCCTATGTTAATCCGGCCCTGCTCCCACTATTCTATATAAAATGTGTTTTGTTCTCTCTCTAGATCTTTTTTAATTACTCTTATTTTTTTGTATCTACCATTCAATATTCAATAGGTTGTTTTGGAGGGTGTTTTACTCCTATCATGGGATGCTTTTGCTGCTTTTATAGATTTTTACTTCTTTACTCTTTTTTCGATTGATTGCACTATGAACAACTTATTTTATCTTTCCTTTTTTTTTTTTTGATTGCATTTTAAACAACTTCTTTAACATGTTTCTCTTTATTGATTGCACCACTGCAAACAACTTCCTTTACCATTTGTGTACTGATTGTACTGCAAACAACCTATTGTACCTTTTTAAAGCTCTACAAACAATTTTTTGTGTCATTCTCAATATATTGGTCTACTTTTGTGTAGCCAGTGTCCTAATAAGGTATGTAACCAACTGCTCTAATGTGACACTAGTGAGATATTAATAAAACAGGTGACACCTTCCACAATTCTCTCTGAGGTGGCAGAACTATAAATAATTATTATTTAAAGACCACCGATTCTACAGGATGGACTATACATAGATTTTACCCTTCCAGAAACTGGTAAATGACATTTAAGGGCTTAAAATATGATGAACGGGTTCCAGTGAATGCCAAGTAAAAGCTATCGCCAATGGAACACCTAGTTCAACTGCATAAAAAAGATCTTAATTACCTGTTCCAGGGAATGACCATTTCCACCAGAATTAATAGATTAATCCTCTAAACTATTTTTAAGGGAAAGAGATTTTCTGTTTCCTAGGATAATACTGACCCCACCTTCCACCACCCCATAATGACAGGGGATACAATATCCCTGTCCTCTCTACCACCTATTATATGAGATAATATTAAAGACTATATCATTGGACTCCTTAAAGTTAGGGAGGTCTCAGTGTCCTATCTTACTTATTAATTATTCAAATAAATGTTACACAAGTCCTCTGTGTAACGATAATACCCAATACGCAGAGTAAAAACCAGTAACACAATAGAGACAGAAGAAAGTCCTCAAACCGGTCCTTAGAATGGCCGGATAAAATAGAAACTACAAGTAAAGCCAGAGACAAGCCAAGGTCAAGGGAAACCAGAAATACACAATAGCGAGGAACTCAGCCAAATCAGGGAAACCAGAAATCAGAATAGTCAAGAGCAAGCCGGGTCAAAATACAAAGAACGATTAAAAGAATACAGGAAAGCACTGAGGGGACACTAGGAACACAAGGCACACTAGGAACCACACCAGGGCACTGATTTGGAGGCAGACTGGGCTTTTATATGACTGGGGGTGTGATTATCATAACCACGCCCCCAAAAGGTACGTGTACGTTGAGCTCTCTTGTTTAGAGCTCTTCCGACCTCAGGGTGTTTGTACGCATGCGCCGCCTCTTTAAAAGGGGCGGGCGCATTGTCCCTGATGCCTAATGCATCCTTTCCTGGCGTGGGAGAAGCGGTTCGACTGATCCCGATGTTGGCAGATCGGCGGACCGACAAGGTAAGTGGCTGACAGCTTATATTCTGCTCCCCTGCTCCACATGTTGCCCCTCCTGACAAAAGTTTTAAAAAAAGGATGCTGTCCCTCCTCGTTATAATATGGTGCCTTAGATATTTGGTTCATTTGGTGCACATGATCCCACATTATGGCACTTGCGATGCCACACTCACATATTCTATTCATATTCAATTATAATAGTGGCCAATAGAGTTATTTCATATCCTATTTGTATCCCCTCCATAAACAGTACCTTGACCTGTCATGGCTTCTTCTTGGAGTCTGATTGGGTGTATTTTACTGTTAATGTTCTTTGGTATTTTGACCCATGCTTGTCTCCTGACTTTGTATACCTTTGTGATCCTTGACCTTGCCTTGCCTTTCCAACCTGTGTACCTCTGTTTCACTGACCATTGGCTAGTTATACAGATCTTATTTTTTTTTGACTTTTTTTTTTTTTTTTAGGCTAACTGTCTAATTTTATTGCATTAATTTATACATAATAAGCACTTTCCTTTCTATACTCCATTAGGTATTACTTAAATGCGTGTTGAGGTTTACTTATACTCTGGAATTCATTTATCTATTTTTCAGTTGATTGCTTGTTCAGTCAGTAAGCATTTATTAAGTTAGTTATATAGCTCTGGTATGATTTTTGAATGTCTCTTAGAGGCACAATTTTGATCGATTGGGTTGATTTACAGAGTTTAGCATCAAAAACATTTTCAGATTAATTATGACACAAATGATAAATTAAAGGATAGTAAATCAAGAGAACTACCTTCATAAAGTGTTGTCAAAATTATCTTGAAATACATTGAACGTTTTTTGTTTTTTCTAAATTTACCATGTCAAATCCACAGTTTAATGAATAACCCTGAAGCTCTGTATGAAATAAACAGTGAATATAGGCCTCGGTATAATATTAGGCTGAGCTGTTCAAATGATGTAATATTTTGGGATACAATTCTAAACTATCTAATATTATGAAAATATTTTAACTTTATAATATTTTTATATTTGTGATACTCTTACATACAACTCGATAAATGACTGTGAGTTGTAATGGTGTGGAGCTCTGTGACATGTTTATAGACTCAGCTTATCACTAAGAGCTTTATTGATAGGGAGCTCTCGCTTTCTGGGTTTAGTTCACAACAAAATATTTCAATAAGCAGTGCATATAAGGAAAACCACAACATCTCAAAGCAATATTATTATTATTATTATTATTATTATTATTATTATTATGTTATTATTTATATAGCGCCAACAAATTCTGCATTGCTTTGTGGACAAAAACATGTAGTTGTAATCAGACAAGTTGGACACACAGAAACAGAGGGGTTGAGGGCCCTGCTCAATGAGCTTACATGCTAGAGGGAGTGGGGTAAAGTGACACAAAAGTATTAGACTAATGACCGTTGCAAGAGAGGAATCAGTGCTATTAACAGTTTAATTGATACGCTTTTATGAAGAAATGGGTTTTCAATGAATTTTTGAAGGAGTGGAGAGTGGGTGAGCATCTAACGGAGGAGGGAAGTGAGTTCCACAGGAATAATTCATATTATTGTGTGTTATGGATGGATACCAAGGAGATACAGCAAAATGATTTGTGTTTGTGTGATGTGTTTCCATCCCTATGTCTGGCATTTGCAAGTATTACTGACTCCCTATGTTTAACTTCTGGTAAAGTCATCAGTGTTTTTATGTGTAAGTGTTATCTTTGTGTGAGTGTATGTCTTTGTATGTGTAGGTGAGTGTCCCATTGTATATATTGGTGCCCCATATACAAAGGTAAGTATATATATTTAGCCCGAATTGTGCGTACATTGTTTGTGTTTATCAAATTTTGCCCTTTTCCTCTGCTGAATTTGCAGACTTGTTCCTACCTTCTATACACCTATATGTAGATAATTAGCTCCAATTCTGCCATCTCATCCCCAAACACCTCATAGGATGATGCAATCAATGCCTCTTCCTAACCCTATGTCCACCACTGCTCTTCCTGCCATCTTTTTAGTTATTTATAAAGACACTTCTGATTCAATCATCTTAGACTAGACCTATTTCACAATTAATCTGTCAGTTCATCCATTAGGCTTTGTCTGTCACACTTTCTGAAATGCTGCATAAAATGTGTAAGGTTTCAGAAAACAAGTGCAGAGCTTGTGAAGGTAATATAGTTTGTATGATAAGTGCCAAAGTTTGTTAACCGCAACCTTACCTGCTACTATAACTACTTTATTATGTTTAAAAGTTTATTCATATATATTTTTACCTATTCTTTTTTGCTATGCTATATATGTAAGTCTAATAATTATTTTGCTTAAATGATTAAATAATAATAAAAAAAATTGCATTTGTTTAACCCCTTAAGGACACATGACATGTGTGACATGTCATGTTTCCCTTTTATTCCAGAAGTTTGGTCCTTAAGGGGTTAAATAATATAAACCTGGTTGTACTTATGATATTGGAATGGCTTGTTTCAAATGGGTAGCCATCTTTAAAGTAGACATGATAATTGACAAGAAAAGCATCCACTCATGCAATTGATTGTAAATATATATATCTGGAAGATCTATACCACACTGTGAACATGAACATTTTATTATAAGAACACTAAATTGTTTAATTAACTAAAGAATGTATGATTTAATTATTAATGTAATTTTTAATCAATTGCATATTTAATGTCATAGATACGTTATGTAATTATTGCTGTAAAACAAAAGTGAAATAAATATTGCTTTATGGTTCCTATACACTAGTCCATATGAATTTTGAGTATCATCAATCATATATCAATATAGAAACAATCCCAAAATTCCAACTGATACTCTTAATGGAGAGGAATGCAAATGTAATGCTCACCAATCATGCTGATGACATAAGCCCAATAGTCTACAGCAGAGGTGCCCAAAAAGTAGATGCCCAGATGTTTTGAAACTACTAATTCCGTGATATTATGCCTTTCAAAAGGCATGCAAACCATCATGGGAGTTGTAATTCTACAACATCTGGGGAGTTACCTTTTTGGCACCCCTGGTCTATACTCTAAAACTCAAATTAGTAATTTCTCTGATTTAGTGCAGAATTAGTTTGTTCCTATTTTCCAGATATCCTGTGTACTAACTTTAACCTGCAGCCTTATTTATGAACCAACGCTGCCCAAGCTGATCTATGCTAAACATCTTGTATACATTACATAAGACTGCATAAAATATATTAGACCAGGTTAAACTAACAACAATATGATTAATTGTTAATAGGTCCTCCCTACCCTCATGGTTTCCCTCCCGCCAGGCTGAAGTGGGAGGAAGGGGTTAAAATCTTACCTTTCTCCAGCGCCGGGTTCCCTCGGCGCTGGGGACTCTCCTCCTCCTTCCGACATCATCGGCTGAATGCGCATGTGCGGCAAGAGCAGCGCACGCATTCAGTCAGTTCATAGGAAAGCATTTCTCAATGCTTTCCTATGGATGCTGGCGTCTTCTCGTTGTGAAAATCACAGTGAGAAGCGGGGAAGCGCCTCTAGCGGCTGGATTAACCCATATGTAAACATAGCAGTTTCTCTGAAACTGCTATGTTTACAGCAGGCAGGGTTAAACCTAGATGGACCTGGCACCCAGACCACGTCATTAAGCTGAAGTGGTCTGGGTGCCTATAGGGGTCCTTTAAACATGTAAATATATTGTAGCCCCATGTAGCAAAAGTACAACTTAGTGGATAGGGGCCTTGACAGGGCTAGGAGGCGGGCATAGAAAGAACATGTAGGGATTGGTGGTTTGAGAGTTAGGGGTTTGGCTATATAAATAGGCAGCAGTTCATCCTGCCTAGGGCTTCTCCTTCTCATTTCAGGTCTCAGAGACGTTCTTCTTCTGGACGTTCTCAGCATCGGTGGGCTCCCTGGCTGTCGGTGGATGGTAAGCATCCTGGACCTGTTGGAGTTGGCAGTGCAGCCCCAGTGCCATCCGGGATGAGGGGCTTGGCCGCTGAGTCTGATGTTGCACTACACTCTCACACGTTGCTGAACACGTCGCAGTGTCCCGGCTTAGCTCATTGAGGGCAGTGGGTAGTCAGGTGAGGGCGCACAGGGCGGGGGTCGAGGAGAGCGCGGGGTCAGGCGCAGGTGGCTCAGCGGGGTATGGCCCGTGTGGTGACGCAGGGATGACGGAAGGATCTCCAGAGGTCAGGAGTGAGAAGGCAGAATTGACCGGGGGGTTTCGGACACGGCGCGACAGCACACATATGTGTTGTTCGCTGGGCTGTTGGGGATACACTTGAAACAGAAAGTCAAGGAAAAGTTGTGGAAGGGGGAATTTTGCAAACTTTTCTTGCCTCTTCCATTAGAGGACTTTATTGACCTCAAGGAGGATGACAAGAAGGACGAGAAAAAAGAGGAGGAGGAGAAGCGGAAGCGGTATCATAAGATACCAAAATGTTTCGGAAATTGGTTGAGGGCGTTCTTCATCATAGCCAGTGTGAGAAGTCGCCGGGGCTGTGTTCATCGCTGTTCTGCTACTTGGGTAGGATCTGGGAGGCGTACCACATGTACGGCGGGCTAGCATGGTGGAGGTACGACGAGCAGTTCCGACAATGGCTGGCGGCTAATCCGGGTATGAGGTGGGACCAGATGGACCTGACTCTCTGGATGAAGCTGATGACGGCGCAAAAGGCACAGCCCTTTCAGCAAACGGCCGGCGCAAGTGTGCAGTCTGCTTCGTCGGCCGCCTTCCAAAAGGGCTTATGCTGGCTCTTCAATGTGGGCTAGTGCAAGTGGGGGGCTGCCTGTCACTTTAGGCAAGAGTGTTAGGGTTGTGGGGGCTCCCACAGACTCAATCTGTGTTTTAAGCGAGGTAAGATGGGGGAGCCGCAGAGTGTGTCTCGGCTGGGGGGCACCCGCTGCCATGGGGCCTAACCCCAGTGAAGTTAGACGTGATGGTGCCGTGGTTAAGCCACTACGGTAATAGGGCAGATGCTGAGTTGCTACGTGCTGGGTTCAGGTTTCTTTATCCCCTTTTGGGACAGGGGTGGGTCACGGGGGTTGGACAATCGGCGGTCGGTGGTTTCTGGGGATGGTACGGGAGAAATACAGTTGGGCAGGATGGCTGGCCCTTTCGTGGCACATCCTCTGGCTAATTTGTGGGTGTCTCCTATTGGGGTGGTTCCCAAGAAAGACCCAGGGAAGTTTCAACTCATTCACCACCTCTCATACCCGAAGGGGCGTCGGTGAATGACGACATCGATAAGGACCTATGCTCGGACTCTTATGCATCATTCGACCATGCGGTCGAGTTGGTTAAGGGGGCCGGGCATCGTGCATTGATGGCTAAGGTTGATGTGGAAGTGGCGTTTCGCTTGCTTCCAGTTCATTCGGATTGTCATCACTTACTGGGTTGCTCCTTTGACTGGGCATATTTTGTTGACCTGTGTCTCCCGATGGGCTGTTCGATCTCTTGCTCTTATGTTGAGAAATTCAGTTCCTCTTTGGAGTGGGTGGTTCAGATGGAAGTGGGAAGTAAGTTGGTGGTGCACTACCTGGATGATTTCTTCTGCGTGGGGCTGGTGAACTCCTCGGCTTGTCATTCTCCTGCTGCGGACCATCGAATGGGTGGCGGGCCAGTTCGAGGTGCCGCTTTCAGCGGGTAAGACGGAGGGCCAGATGGAGTGTCTCAGTTTCCTGGGCCTGGAAAGATTCAGAGCTAGGTGAGTGTTGACTGCCTCAGGATAAGTTGGTGGGGCTGTGAGGCATGGCATCAGAAGTTTTTCAAGCTTGGAAGGTGACCCTTCAGCAACTGCAATCACTTATTGGGAAGCTCAATTTTGCTTGCAGGGTAATTCCGATGAGACAAATTTTCAGCCGGAGCCTGTCTGTACCATGTCATCAGGGTGTCGTCGCCCATGTGGGCTGATCTAGGGGTGTGGGGTGCGTTTTTTCAAGATTTCAATGGTTCAGGGTTTTTTCTGCAGGCATGGGGTTTCATTACGGATCTTGAGCTCTTCACTGACCCGTCAGGTAGCATGGTCTTCGAGGCTTACTTTGGTGGCCTTTGGTGTGTGCAGTGGTGGCTGGAGGTGTGGGGGAAGAGCCCCCTCATTTGTAACCTGGCATTTTTGGAGCTGTTTCCTTTGGTGGTGATGCTGGTTCTTTGGGGCGACAAGCTTCGGGACCAGAAGGTGGTCTTTTTCTCAGATAACATGTCCGTTGTACACGCAGTCAATAATCTGTCCGCCTCATCGAAACCGATGGTGGGTCTGTTGTGGCGCTTTGTTTTACTCTGCATGTCTCTCAATGTGGTTTTCTGTGTGCGGCATGTGCCCGGGTATTTGAACGGTGGCTGATGCTTTGCAGTAGTCCCGGTGTCGGACGTTGGCACCGGTGGGGTGGGACCTCCTGATCCTGGGTTGGCAGGAAGGGCTGCAGAAAGAGCTGTTTTTTCAGGGTGGTGGAGCTCAGATGGCTTAAGGGTTCAAGGTCTGAGCTTGTGAAGGGATAGGGAGCAAAAGGATAGGAAATAGGCTCCCCATTAGCATGGTTATGGAAATGGTGAAGATGGTTCTTGGTAAGTTTGGTAGGTTTTGAGCCCTGTCAGTGGCTCAGAACCTGGTGGGATAGGGGTATCCCTACCCCTACAATGGTTAATTAAAATGTTGGCACTTTAAGTTATGTTCATGTTGGTATACTGTTATGTTCTTTATATATGGGTCATTGTTTTTATATCTAACTGAAGGATACAGATGTGATGGCGGGGTGTGGGGCAATGACCTTTTTTCTATGTTAATTTATTACTATTGAAGAAAAGCTGTGGACAATTTTGACCCATATACTGTAGTGTCCGTGTTTTATTGGGATAGGTGTGTGGGGTTTTTTGTCCTGATTCCGCCTGCGCATATGGAGGCTATGCACCTGTCATGGCCTTGAGGAAAGCATGATTGTTTGTAAGCTCCTTAAAGATAGTAAGAGAACTTTAATCAGCACTTTACAGATATCAAGAATCGAAAAAAGCAAAGTTTATGCAGATGATCTCTTATTTCTTTATTACCAACCCACAAATCTCCTTACCATGCCTAATGAGGGATTTTGACAGGAATAACTCTGGACTTAGGTTAAACCTCTCAGTGTGGAGTTTTGAATGTACAAATTCCTGAAGATACATTTTTAGCTCTTTTGCCTCATTTTCCCTTTCACTGGTGCTTGACCTGGTGCTTGACCTACATGAAATATTTGGGGGTACTGATGATGAAAGATCCGGTGGAACTCTATAGAAATAACTTCCTCCAATTTGGTGGACCTCAAGCGATGGTCCTACCCGCAAATTTTGTGGCACGGATGGGTGGCAGTCCTTAAAATGAACATTTTGACGAGGCTGCTGTACCTCTTTCAGACTGTACCCATCTCCCCACCCAGAACTTTCATTGCTTCTCTGATAACAGTGGTGATATAATATGTATGACGAGAGGACACGATTGAGGCACGATCTGTTGTGCAATGGGGGGCTTTGCCTTACTGGATTTTAGGAAATATTATCAAGCAATATACTTGATTGACACCTTATAAACAATGGGTAGTATTGGACATGGTAGTGTTTATGACTCCCTGCAATCTGCCTTTGGTTGGGAAGACCGGGCATCTAGGGGGAAATGGCTAGGGAATTGCCTGTTAATCTCACACCTTGAACTTGGAGGTCTATGAGAGGAGCCAGCCAACTTTCCCGTATACTGAGTCCTTTGACTCCATTAATGCATAAGAGACATTTAGGTGGTGGCCTACCACCGGGAAGGTGGGATTATACACTCATTCGCAGGACGCTGGCAGAAAGCGACTTATGAGAATTGATAGACCTCATGGAACATGAGAAACTGACCCCTATGATAAATTTTAATACGCACAGCTCTAACATTATTATCATCAGTTCACATTACAGGACACTGCTAAATTTCAACCTATCTTGGTTCGAGTATTTATGCTAGATAAAGCAGTGTGTTCACTATACCAGTATTTGCTAGTGGGAAACAGAACAGCATAATACACTTTTAAGCGGCGTTTGGAAGACCTCCTTGACATGGAGTTTACTGACACACACTTTAAGAGCTTGATTAGTCCCAGATACCAGGAGGTTAATTATAAATTACTTTCTTTCTGGTATAGGACCCCAGTGCAATCACAGGATTTGTAGGGATATTTCCCAATTATGTTGGAGGTGTGGTGCCAGTGAAGGGAACGTTGCATACATTTGGTGTAGCTGCCCTCAAATCATCCCATTTTGGGATATGGTTTGGGATACGGTAACCAACATTCTTGTTGATTCCATGTCTTTCGGTGCGGAGCAAGTATTGCTGCATCTTATCCCATTATCAATTCCACAATATAAAAAGGTCATCCCGAGGCACATTCTTAATGCTGCAAAATCACTTATACCTATCCTCTGGAAACAAGAAGACACTCCCACAAGGGAGCAGTGAATGCTTAGAGTTGAGGAGATTCAGGCAGCTGAGGCTATGCAGGCATGTTTGCTAGGTGACGGTGCTAGGCATATGGAGCAATGGCTACCCTTGTTTAAATTTACTAATAATGGGATAGATCCTAACTCTGTTTGAGAGGTTGCATGGTACGGATGGGAGAGGAGCAGGTGGATAGGAACTGCACCTTCCTGGTGGGTAATAGGTGCTTCCTGTGTTGTCTTTTGTTTCATAAATACCTATCTATTTATTTCTTTGTCTAATTAATTTTTTTTTCTTCTCTAAGGATTATGATTATGCTCCACCTGAGGCATACACGAGACATAGGGGGATCTGATGAGGCTCTTTATAGGTATTATGTATGTACCGAAACCTTAAAACATGTTAACTCCTTGATGTATAAACATAAAGGATAGAGTTAAACAGGTTGGATTGGGACTTTATGTTTTTGATTGTGTACTCAATTTATTATCAGTATGTCCCGTCTAGGCCCTTACGATCTGCTGAAGACTTACGTCTATCTTCTGTCCGTACTCCCACCTCTGATGCTCGCCTTCAAGATTTCTCGAGGGCTGCACCTTTCCTGTGGAACTCGCTTCCCTCCTCCGTTAGATGCTCACCCAGTCTCCACTCCTTCAAAAAATCGTTAAAAACCCACTTCTTCATAAAAGTGTATCAATTAAACTGTTAATAGCTCATGACTGATTCCTCTTCTGCAACTGTCATTAGTCTAATACTATCCTTACCTTTTTGTGTCATTTTACCCCACTCCCTCTAGCATGTAAGCTCATTGAGCAGGGCCCTCAACCCCTCTGTTCCTGTGTGTCCAATTTGTCTGGTTACAACTACATGTCTGTTTGCCCACCCATTGTAAATCGCTGCAGAATTTGACGGTGCTCTATAAATATCATAAAAATAATAATAATAATCTTTAGTGTTGTTCATTTCTATAGGTGTTCACATTCTCTAAGGACCTGTGTGTTCTATTTTTTGTTCCTTGTTTTGTTTTATCATGTTTATTGAAAACATTTAATAAAAATCTGATTTACGTATGAATCGAAAAAATCAAGGAGAGTTAAACAAAATTTAAAAATAAAAAATAAAGTGAATCACCAAAAAGTATTTGAGACTATCTTGCTTATACAATACATTAGGTACACAATACATTGCTCCTTTTACTGTAATTGCTATTCTCAATTATGGTAACTCTGCCACCTGGAAGAAGTGGGGGTTCTATCAGTCATTTCACACCCTTCTTTTTCAGCATAAGAGCAGTTGTGCTTGTCACTCTTGCTAAGGTGTATCACACCACATAGTAGAGGTACTTTAGACTTTAAGAAGGCAATATGTGTTGCTTAATGTCTTGTTTTCTTAAGAGTAGGGTTTCTAATGGTCTTCACTGTAGGCCTTATTTCACTTCCCATCAAGGAGTATTCTTTTATAGGAGAATGATTCAAACAGTTCAATAGCTAAGTACTAAATCCCCTGCCCATCATCTAAAAAACAAAGAGGAACATGATGGCCAATTTAGATTTACCTCAAGTTCTGATGAAAAGTATATGGAAATTAGTGCCTCAGTCCATAGCACCCATACTACCCAAATCCCATTTCTGCTGCACATTGAAGGTGAAGGTAAGTTCCCATGATATTTATAGTATATTTATTTAACCCCTATGTTTAGCAAATATATTAAGTAGGGTTGAAAAATAAAAATAAATGTATAAATTATTATTTACATTAATCCTTGAATTGGGTGCCTCCAACCCAGCTGTCTGTCCATCATCACTGCAAATGTGTTCTGTCTGTCAGTGACCATAGTGTGAAACAAAGACAATGTTTTTTGTTCTCCTTCTCATTTATAACATATGCCCTGGCTGAACCTGAGCTGAAATGGATTGTGATATACTTGAAACTTTTTGAATATAACATTTTAAATAAATTGGATTATCACACAAAAAAACATTAACACACGTTTTGAGTGATTTTCATCATTATATTCATTAGTGTCAATTCCAGAGCAGTGGCTTCTATCTGAATACTTATTGTCTGCCTCTCTTTCATACATTTGTGAATATGAGTATAATTGTAGATAAAGGATCCATTACTAGAACTGCCCAATGCAGACCCAATAAATTTATAAAACTGTCCGATATTCACCTTAAATTCTTAAAAAAACAACCTTTTTCAGTTTTATTCCCTAATTAGGCATTACATTTGGAAAATAACATTCCTATGGATATTACCTTAGATATAAACTCACTACAATTAGAATCTCTTCACCACCTCTTGCTCCAGTCAAAAGCAAACATAAAAATGTAACAAAATGTTTTGTTACATATATATGTGTCATGTCCACGTAGTGTACATCATTGTGAAATGTGTTGCATTTAATGCAAATTGGACACAAGCTGCACAGTATATGTAAAAAGACTGTGCAAAAAAAAGACTGTTTTGCATTGAACCACTTTCACTTTCTGCCAGAGGGTATATACACTTGCATTTGCTGTGATATAGGAAAAATCACAGCTCCCTAATAAAAAATGTCTATTTTTATCTTAATATGTTAAAGTATTCAATGTCCTGTTAGGAAAAAAAAAGCTTAGTCTTGTGGCTTTATGAAATGTAATGTCATCTTGACATTTCTGATCATATCACATGGACTCAAATATCACACAATGTGCCCTTATACCCATGAGACAAGACTTGTTATTAGCTGTTCCTTATTAGAGTTGTATGTGTGACATTTTAATTGGCTTTTTGTATTTTACAATTAAAGGTTAGTGCCAGGAATATACATTCATCATTCAGAAATGTTCGAGCTAAGTGAGCTGGAAATGCTTCATAAACCAAATGTGTAGAATATCTATCCAGCAGTCAACACACATTTTATTCAAATATCTATACATTTTACCAAATTATTATACGCTTTCAACTTCACTGTATAATCCGTCTATTGTATGCAATTAAATCTGGCAATAACTAAGATGAAAAAATGGGTTTGTTCACAAATGCTATTTGAAATAAATGCTTTGATTTAACAGTATACTTAAATAGTACATTTTAGAAAGCTTTTGGAAATGGCTAAATAGAAAATAGAAAAAAAAGTGTACCTGTCATAAGTCACTGACTTATGCCGTGCTGAAATGCTAGTAAATGAATAAATTAAGATATTTCTATCTAATAATAAGGGCCCACCCGCAATCTGACAATCAATTGTCCACCTAGACCTCTATGCTTTGGTACAGACCTCAAGAACTCAAGTGGTTTGTCACACCCAGGGGCGCTATAGCAAGTGGAAACCACTGTCCACTTACACCTTCATCATCTGCACCAAGCATGTCAAACTCAAAGGCTAGCATGGGCCAAATAAACATGGTTTAAGTTTATGTGGGCCACAAAAAAAAAAAAAAATCATAGAAACGTAGGTTTGTTTTGAGAAGTACAGTATAAAAAAAAACAGCATCCCCCTCTACTAAACCCCATTCCCTCCCTCTATACTAAATCCCAGTTCCCCCCTCTACTAAATCCCAGCACACCCCGTGTGAAAACCGCGGCCTTTGTTTAAAAAAAAAAAAAAAACAGCTAGCCAACAAGCAAACTCCACTCGACTCCGGAGTCCAGCCTTTGTTATACCCCCAATGGCACTGTCTGCACACTGTGCCAAAGCGGACCCTCCCGCTACTCCTTGAAACCCTGTGAAGGTGGAGCATGTTGACATCATGTCGGAATGTGATGTGGCATTGCGTGCCTCCGTGCACCACCAGGTCCTTTACTGTCCAGCCACGGCCATCGCAACACTGACCAACACACACTCACTGACAGACAAACACACACTGACAGACACACTCATACACTGACAGACACACACCCACTCTCTGACAGACACAAACACACACTCATTCACTGATTGATAGACAGGGCTGGTGCAAGGATTTTTGCCGCCCCCCCCATGTGAAAGCACAGTGTCCCACCCATATGATCTGCCATATGAACTAACGCCAGTGCTGCACACAGTGTGTGTTTACAATTAAAAGCCTGCAGGGACAGACTATAGACACCAGAACCACTTCATTAAGCTGCAGTGGTTCTGGGGACTATAGTGTCCCTTTAATGTGAGGTAAATTAGAGATTAGTGTCACTAATAATAGATTGGCTACTTACAACCAGATGAGGATGGTAATGGGCTCTGGTTGCAGTTTGGCCCTACTTGTCTGGTGTAGAACAGGATCTTTGGAGGTGGTCACAAAATTCAATGTTCTGGGAGAATGGGAAGCAGCTCTATTTTTTGGGGCCCCTTACACAGCTCAAGGTCTGGGCCCCAGGGCCTGATGCTGAGTATGTCCATAAGGCCCACCCAGAAGTCCACCTACATGTTCAACTCATGAGTTCGCTCACAGGGAGTGGAGTGTGTAGGGGATGTGTTATGTGTTATTGTAGATGATCTAATGTGTGTGCTTATGGAATGTAGTGTATAGGGATTCCAGTTTGTGTAAGTGATGCAGTGTATTTGTGTGTAGTGGAAGAAGGGTGTTTTTGTGTAAGGGATAGAAAGCAGTGTGTGTTTGTGTATAAGGGATGTATTGCTTGTTTCTGTTTGTGTGTAAGGAACGCATTGTGTGAATCTGTGTTTGTATGCATAAGGGATGCAAGGTGGATACAAATGCAGAAAGATAAGTCCTGCGCTCACTCCCATCACTGGGCGGCAGCAAAGACTACAGTACACATCAGCCCCAATATATAGTAAAAACCAAAGAAAAACAAGTTACCTGCACTCTCTCCTTAATCCCTCTGTATTTTTAAACAAATGGAGGCTTTTTATGCCTTGACGTTGGCAGGGGGGATGTCCTCTCATGGCCATTGGAGGTAACTAAAAAAACCTCCATTTGTTTAAAAATACATAGGGATTAAGGAGAGAGCGCATATAGGTGTGTAGATCTTTGCAAGAAGTTTAAGGAAGCAAGGTGAATGGTCAGAGTTAGGACCCACCTGGGGGGTCTGCCTTGAGGTTGGCAGGTGGGCTTATCCTCTCATGGCCATTGGAGGTAACTAAAAACCTCCATTTGTTTAAAAATACATAGGGATTAAGGAGAGAGCGCAGGAATGCAAGGTGTGTTTCTGTGTATGTAAGGGATGCAGTGTGTGTGTAGGTAAGGGGTGCATTGAGTATGTGTAAGAGATGCATTGTGTTTCTGTGTGTGTGTAAAGAGAAGCAGTGTGTGTTTGCATGTGTGTGAAAGGGATGCATCGTGTGTTTCTGTGTATGTGTGCAAAGGATGCATTGTCTTTATGTGTAAGGGTTGCATTGTATGTGTGTAATGGATGCATTGTGTGTTTCTCTGTGTGTAAGGGAAGCATGTTGTGTTTCTGTGTGTGTAGAGATGCATTGTGTGTTTATGTGTATGTATAGGGATGCATTGTAAGTGTGTGTGTGTGTGCGCGTAGTGTGTCCTGTCCTGCCCCCTGTCCTATAGAGCTCTCTTTTCCTCTCCTTAGCACTCTCCCCTGCCCCTTAGGGGTCTCTACTCTCCCTCCCCCTCCCTTAGTGGTCTCTCCGCCTGAGGCTCTCTATAGAGCACTCAGGCGGCTGCAGCATTTGAAGGGCCGGCGATGAGGGCGCAGGGTGCCCCCTCCTATGTGGCGCCCTAGGCGGCTGCCTAGTTCGCCTTATAGGAAGCGCCGGCCCTGTTTTAAGACAACACACACTGACAGACACACAGACACACACACATTTACACATTCTTGCACACACTCACATAATTTTATTTATTCTTCCAGGCCTTTGGAAACTAGTGTGGGGCCTCTCCCTGGGGTCCAGTGGGAATCTTCTCTCAGGAGGTCTCCTACCTGTTCCTCACTGCTCCCTCACATGCATAGTTTAGTGATGCCGGGCGAGAATGACGTCATTTTCCAGCACCCAGCATCACTACATAGAGCACGTGCGTGGGAGCAGTGAGGAGCAGGAAAACTGAGCTCCCTCACTGCCACCAGCGACCTCTCCCGCTGGCCGCGTAAATTTGAGCAGAGTAGGCACCTGCAATGTGGGGAGAGCAGGTGCCTACTCTGCCTTAGTAAGCATGTCAAACTTTTTTCATTGTGGGCCGCGAGTTTGACATGCTTGATTTGCACTATTGCTCTTCAGTTCTTTCAGTTTCTAAAGCATTATGTATAATACAATTTGCAGTTATCAGTTTCAATAAATAACACTATTCAGTCAATACTCTGTTTCTGTAACTCCCTATATTTTATATTAAATTATGATGTCTGTGGTACCACAAGCTTGTGCTATTAAGGTATTTGAAATGATGTATTTCCTTAAAATGTATTTGTATACATACATGAATATAGCAGAATTAATTAAGAGACTTAGTGGTGAGAATTAATTAGAATATTAATGCAATGAGGTTAAGCCAGATAATATTCAGCATAAAAATGTTCATCCATGCTACATCCTCGTAAGAGAAACTTGCTCCACTAAGTTGCATAAATAGATCAGTGATGTTTACAATCATGTTTTGCAGGATGGTTCTTAGATTAATTTAGATTAACGGAGCTGAAACAGTGGATCTATTTCCCTAGCATAAGTGTAAGCAAGCAAGACTCTTGGAAACTAACAGATGTAAAACTATGAATTACAACTGAAAGCAGTGACACTTTCACTGTATGAAATATTAGTATAGGTGATAAACAACTAACGCACCATTACAATCTGTGTTGGTGCAAGGATATTTTGGTACATAGGCGAAGATGCATTTTTCCTACCCCTCCCACACCACCAAAGAAAATAACATCTTCAATGATGTGCCTCTTAACCTGCTCCTTTCCCCTCCCCGGCCATTAGTGGTCCCCTCCCTTCCCTGTCACTTTGTGTTCTTCTTCCCTCCCCCCTTTTTTTCCCTGTCCCTTGGTGTTTCTCTCCCCTCCTCTCCCTGTCCCTTGGTGCACCCCCAACCCCATTAGTGGTCACATTCCCCTTCATGCTATCCCTTCTACCTTTCTTGTAGCATTGCTGGGTGGAGCAGATTCCCTACAAGAGCTTCAGTTTTCTGTACCCAGCCGGACTGACAGGGAGTGCCCTCTCAGTGAGCACCTCATGTCAGTCTGGCCAGGTAGAGTAACAGAAGCTCATGTACCGCGCTCCGCTCCGCTACACTCAGTGGTGTATACACACTCACAGTCACACACACTCAATGACAAACACACAGACAGACACAGACTCACTGATCTGACACACACTCATTCATTGACACACACACACACAGACACACATTGATTGACACTCATTGACAGACACACTGATAGTAACACACAGACTCAATGACAAACGTACTCTCACTGATTTGGCAGACACTCTGAAACACACACTGACAGACACACACGCACACACTCTCATACAATCACTCACAGACACACACACTCATTCACACATACTCAGTCACTCACAGACACACATACACATCACATACACTCACTAATTATTATTTTTATAAATAAACATTTTCTACCCAGCCTCCCTACCAGGAGAGCTGGCATGGATCTGTCCCTGGGGTCCAGTGGGGCTGTTGGGGGCGGCGTGCGGCAGTGGTATAATCAGAGGCATCAAGGGAGCTCTATTCTCTCTGCTCTGCTCCCTCGTGGGCTATTTACTGATGCTGGGAGCCAAAATATGACATCATATTTCAGCTCCCTGCATCAGCAAACGGCACGCGAGGAAGCAGAGCAGAGAGAATAGAGCTCCCTCGCCGCCTCTGATTATATCACAGCCGCACGCCGCGCCAGGGGTCCAGAGAGCTTCTCTCCTGCTGGTCACTGAAATCTTGCGCCCCCAGAGCCGGTGCGCCCTAAGGCGGCTGCCTGTGCTGCCTTATGGACGCACCAGCCCTGATTACAATGGATTATTACTCAAAAGCCTTTATCCAACTTTACCAAGCGTAATGTAAAGTTTGACAATCTTACATTACCCTTGGAATTAAAAATTCAAACATTTATTGTAATTTCATAACAGAATATAGATTCAATATATCCCATGTTGCCCAAAAGAGTATAGGCATTGTTATTGCCAGAAGGACTCTGTATTCTATTAACACATTACTGTGGATATTAATGTCTAGACGTTAAAGGATCACTATAGGGTCAGGAACACAAACATGTATTCTTGACCCTATTGTGTTTAACCCACTATTTCAGTGACTTGCCTCCCTTAGCCCATAAATCAGCATGGGGTAGGGGCCAAATGCCATTTTGGCCAATCAGAACCTCCTCATAGATAGAGCATTGGATCAATGCATCTCTATGAGGAAAATTCAGCGTCTCCATGCAGAACGTGGGGACACTGAACAGCAGGGCTGCTTACTGTGTAGCCCTGAGCCAGGAAACCCCTCCAGGGGCCATCTAAGGAGTGGCCACTTGGAGGAGTCCCTAGGGGCAATGTAAACACTGCATTTTCTCTTAAAAGACAGTGTTTATATGAAAATGCCATAAGGGCATTAAGCTGTAGTTGTTCTGGTGACTATAGTGTCCCATTAAGTGACCCAATGATAATAACAGATGATAATAACAGACAGGGACATTATGCAGGCCTCTCTGTTAAATATGGGAAACCCATCATTTAATATTAAACAGACAAAGTAGTTACTATTACCATTTTATATCATTGGATTGAATATAGTGCCCAGAGTAATCTGGCACTGTTCCTCCTTTCAGTGTTAAACTGTTGTGGGCAAAAATATTAACCCAATTCATATTAATAAAATGCCTATTTACTCAGCATAACCACAATCAGCATTATTCAACCTTATATGTGATTTACCTAAAATGGCCGCTAGGGAGTTTCCCTTTGACATCGACTAACACCCTCATTAACAAGATGGCGCTGGAATCTGGGGGAGACCTCCAAGATACCAGTGACATCACACCCGGTAGGAAGGGCACTGAACCACTTAACACCTAACCAATTATTGATGTATTATTCCATGTTATCTCTGACAATGCATATGATGTAATTTTTTACGCAAGATAATCAATTGATTGATTGATTCCACATCATAAACCATTTTCAAGAAGTTTAACACTAAATAAAGGTCCATGGCTGCTTCTCGCTAAAGTGAAAATTCAGAGTGCATTTTAAAATGTAAGGCTAGAGTAGTAAAACTGATGGCATAGCTGATTTACATTATTTTTTCAGTTTGGCTATTTTAAACCTTAAATTTTAAACTCACTCTTTGAATTCTTACTTTAGTAAGTAACCGAATAGATCTCTTTGCCCATATTTTATTTATACTGCCACCCATGCTACAAAAGGAGTACGTGGCTATTGCCCATACACTTCCAGGTCAATAATTTACTGAGTAAACTTGACTTTCTCTAGCTGTAACTCCTTTACTAACTATGAAACATGTCCAAACCCTAGAGCTCCCATACAAAGAGAGATGGGAGAGGGAGTAGACAGCATGGGTTCTGAGTGTGTTTAGCTAGAGTTTCTTTCTTTTTTAAAATATATTAAAGGGACACTATAGTCATCAGAACAACTACAGCTTATTGTATTTGTTCTGGGGAGTAGAATCATTCCTTTCAGGCTTTTTGCTACAAATACTGTCTTTTCAGAGAAAAGACAGTGTTTACATTATAGCTTAGGGAATCCTCCACTGGCCACTCATCAGATGGCTGCTAGAAGTGCATCATTAGGCAGTGCTGCACAGTGTGTAGCACTGCCAATCAGTGTCTCCACCCTCTGCATGGAGACACTGAACCTTCCTCAATGCATTTCTATGAGGAGATGCTGATTGGCTAGGGCTGTGTTTGGCTTGTGCTAGCTTTGTCCCGGATTTGCCTCCTTGTCCATCTCAGCCAATCCTAAGCATTGTGATTGGCTCAGTTCAAAACTTCTGATGATGTCAGCCAAGCAGGCAGATCAGGGGTAGAGCCTGCAACAGCAGACAGGAATAAAAGTAGGATTTTGTTATATTAAGGGTGGGCTAGGGGGGTCTGATGGTGTTTTTAACACTATAGGGTCAGGAAAACATTTTTGTGTTCCTTTAATTATAACTGTATTGGTGCAAGTTCAGAGCTTTATAAATACCCGCAAAAAAAAGAAAGAAAATTATTATTGTTAATACAGTACTAGCTAAAAATAAGGCAATGTTATAAAATATGAGCATATATTTTTAAGGTCACTTTTGGATTTTCTTTCAGAGCTGTAACACTGTAAATTTTTTCTGGACCCAATTATTCCAGCTAGTTTGCAGTCGCAATTCTGTACTTTGTGCTACATTGACCTTTCACTTTGTGAATGTTCCAGATATACTTAACATGATAAAGCATCCTACAGAACACAATAATGCAGAAATAATGTGAGCTACAGAAAACGATCGCTTCAAAATGTATTTGAGAGAGTACAATGTAACATGAGACTGTGTAATACAGTAAGACACAGAATGCATTGAGGACAGAATAAACTTCACAACACAACAGGAGGTTTTATATTTTGCATGTTTCTTTACTGAACTATACAGCAGCAAAGAAAAAAAACATCAAAAACAGGAAAAGTGTTTGTGAGGTGAAGCAGCCTTAACACCTCCTCTTTCTTTGCTGCTCCACAAGGAACAGGTTCATATATATTTTAACTGTTAAGTATTCCCTCTACTTATTTCTACAGTTTTCACATATTTGCCTTTTCAATAATACTGGAAGGACTTTATTTGGAGGTTTTATCTCTTTTTTCCTCAGGTTGGGGTTCACCTACCCAGCCTTTGGGACCAGTCCCCCTATATCTGCAACACACCCGATTGGCCTGAGTTTAGCTGCATTGCATTTAAATATGAAATTAATCTAATATAACAGATATGACTCTTATCAAAGTTACTAACGACCTAATCGCAGCTAAATCCAAAGGCCACACTAATTCTTATTGACCTCTCTGCTGCCTTTGACACCATTAATCATGCTCTCCTTCTTCAAACTATTCAGTTACTCGTTCTCTGTGGCTCTGTCCTCTCGTGGTTTTCCTGTTATCTCTCCCAACACTCATTTAGCGTCTCCTTTTCTAATGATACCTCCTCCCCTCGTCCTGTCTCGGTTGGAGTCCCCTTCTATTTTCTCTTTATACTGCCTCTTCTGGAAAACTTATTACCTATTTTGGATTCCACTACCACCTGTATGCTGATGACACCCAGATGGTTCTCTCCTCCTCAGACCTCTCCCCTGCCGTCCTGCAACGTGTCACTGCTTGCCATTCTTCCATCTCTGACTGGATGTCCTCCCGCTTTCTGAAACTCAATCTCTCTAAAACTGAACTTCTTGTCTTTCCTCCTCCTAATACTGATCCTCCTCTTTTGCTCTCCCTTCAAGTTAGTGGTATCCACATAAGTCCATCTTTGCAAGTGCGCTGACTTGGCGTCATACTTGATTGTGGCCTCACCTTTAAGCCTAACATCCAGTATGTTGCCAAGTCCTGTAGATTCCATTTTAAAAACATAGCCCGCATCCGCCCCTTTCTTACGCAATATTCTACCAAGGAGCTTGTCTATGCTCTAGTAATTTCCTGCATGAATTATTGTAACCCTCTCCTAATTGGTCTTCCCAAAAGCCATATTGCCCCGCTACAGTCTGTAATGAATGCTGCCGTCATGCTGATTTACCTCTCTAGTTGGTCCTCTCACACCTCACCCCTCTATCAGTCCTTACATTGGCTTCCTGTATCCTATAGGAGTCAATTCAAAGTGCTAACCCATACCTATAAAGCACTGAACAATTCTAGCCCCTACTATAGCATAACATTGGAAGGTTTAGAAGGATGGGTCGCTGAATCCAAACCTTTCGATGTTGGGAGGTATGTCTGGCTTCTATTGGAGAGGTATTCGCATTAACCTAGTCGAAAACTTTACTAACATAACAGAATGTCAGCTCTTCAACTAGAAATTAAAAAGCATGAGAAAGTTTTACCTCACATGAAAAATATATAGAATAACAATTCTAAGAAAGAGACAGAGGCGAATGTATCAAGGAAATTTAAACATATACGAGCAAAATATTTTGATATACTGATATATTTAAATGGCCCTAACAGTTAGGGTTTTGCAACTGGTGGAATAAATTGATGAGCCAATAGACCATACATGTAGGTCCTTCTCTGGACTCCCTTATAACTCATTATATAAGTTAGTACGGGTATTGTTTCTACAGGGAGGGTGATTATGCTCACTCTATACAAACTCATGCCATACCATCTATTATGTTACTCTGTCAGGGCTCTATGTCCATTTACCCTATGTCATTCACAGTCTTACAATGCATTTTTAGTTTATGTAAGTCTTTTACAGTTTCTCCCAACTCTGTTACATTTTCCCCCTGTTTAATCCTATTACCTACCACTAATTGCAGAACCACCATCCTCAAACACACTCCAACTTAAAATCCTTAACCTTCTGATTACAAGCTCCCATCAAATAAGGATTAATTTCCTTTCAAACACCCACACCCATCAAATTAGAACAGCTTTTCTCCCAAACATCCTCATTCATCAATTTAGGATCCTTTCAGATCTCCTACACCAAACAAATTAAGACCACTTTTATCCCAAACACTCACACCATGAAATTATCTTCCCTTTCAAATCTCTACAGACATATGGCTTTAGAATCAGCATCAGGAGGTGGTGATGTCTCTTTTATTTGTTCATTAATGTAACTGTAGGATTTCAAACAAGGCTTTGTGTTTAAAAGTATAGACATAGATGTAGTTAGATATATGTCATACATTCTGAGAACAAGTAATGTAGTAAATCCATTTGTCATCATGTGTTAATTATAGCCTGGATATGATATTTTATCTAGGTTTTTTTTTTTTTTCTTTAAATATTTACGCCCTTTACTAAAACAATAGATTTGTAAAAATAATTATTGCTTCATTATAAGCATCTATATAAGCTGTGTAAAGAAAGGTTTTTTATAAACTGGAAAGTCATAGCATGTATATTATAATATGATACAAAACAAAATACTTTTTCAGATGCTCTTGTTTTTTCATGTTAGTAATTGTATGTCATTGGTTCTGAACTACACTTTGTGATAATGCAAAAGGAATGCATTTGATCTCTGTGCTGGTTATTCGTAATGTTCTTCACATGCACAAGTTAGATTACGTACTCATGAGTCTGTAAGTAATTCATTCAAGGTAGATGAGCGCAGCGAGGTGTGACAGAATAAAAATGCTTTTACCTGCAGACCTTCTATTGCTAGTCTTAGCATGCTTGGGGTAAGCTTGGATGCCTGCTTGAAAGTGAAGTTGCTCCAATCTATTATCAAAACAAACCCATTCACTTGAAGTTCTGGATCTTCTATCATAGCTTCTAAAGAGAGAAGTATTGCACGCAGAATATCCACAAGTGTATACCTGCACGAAACAGAGAATATATATATTTTATCAACATATAAAGATTCTATTCTGCAAAGAAACAAAAAATATATACCTAAGGTGCAAAATAGACATGAACTTGAAATGTATATTGTATTCCTATTCATTAGTCATAGCTTAATATAGTTGTTCTGGTGTCTATAGCATGCCCCTGTAGGCATTTTCATGTAAACGCTAATTTTTCAGAGGAAAGGCAGTATTTACATTGCTGCATAGGCAAGGGGAGGCAGCAATGTACTATTTAGTGTTTTTAACACAACAGGGTCAGGAATCCACATGTGTGTTCCTAACACTACAGTGTACCTTTAATCTTAATGGTTGAAGCATGAATGCTGAATATCTTCAAGGTAAACTTTAGAAAAAATTTTTTTTTCATTTTTTAAGGAGGAAGGTGGGAGCAGACCAAGTGTGGAAGGTGGGTGGAAAAGGTGGAAAACCAGCAGTTTCTTTAAACAATGGTTCTTGAGTTGATTTGAGTAACTCTTTAACTGTGCAGTCTGTATAATATATATTGTAATAAAGTGAAGGCAGAGAGGCATATGACATTTAACCCCGGGGTATGTGTTATATGTGTGGTATGCAACACAAACTAATGTGTAGTTATGGGCCCCTGGGGTGGAGCATTTGGAGAGTAGGGCAGGCCGGTGCTCCACACCTCAGTTTATATACAACTGGGAGAAATAAGGGCCAGGCCAGGGTTTTGAACTGTCTCCAACCCACTGCTCAGCTGCAGGTAATCAGCTGCAGCAGTGGGAATAAACCCCTCCCTTTTAGGCAGGAAAAGAAGGATTGCTGAGAGATGTTGTTCTCTCCTGTGAGAGAGTCAAGATTTGAGGTGACTGAGCACTGGGAGTGCAGAAGGAGAGCAGTCAAGGTGACGGAGTTGGTGAAACCTGTGATCGGTTTAAGTTTAACCCTTGAGGGAAGTTGAAAGTTATTCAGTGCTCAGACAAGCTAGGTTTTTGTTTAAAGGGAAACCTGTTATAATATTGTTTCTTTAGTTGTGTTGCTGTCCCTGTGTGGATTTAACAATAAAGTGTCTGGATTATGTGAAAACCAAAGGACTGTGCCTGTTGATTACCCTAGAGCAGCGGTTCCCAAAGTGTGGGTCACGACCCACTAGTGGGTCGCAGGGCGATTCCCAGTGGGTTGCACTGACCCTCCCCTCTAGGGCCGCCGGAGACTCGGGAGTCAGACTGATCAGAAAGGGGCCCGACGGCTTGCCCTGTATGCTGCTGGGCTCCCTTCAATCAGTCTGCCCAGCACCTCCGGTCTGCAGCTCCACCGGGTGCAGAGCTGCACACCGTGTGATAGAAATCTTGCGAGCTCCCAGAGCGTTAAAATGGCAACACTCTGGGCGCTCGCGAGACTTTTATTACACTGTCTGCAGCTCCGGAGCATTAATCCACTGGACTACCAGGAAGACACTGGACCACCAGGGAATTTATTACAGGTAGGACAAACCCTGGCCCCCCAACTGTAACCCCTTCACTCCCTGCCCCCTCCCCCCAACTGTAACCCCTTCTCTCCCTGCTGCATATATCTGAAATCCTAGGCACTCAATGGCACAACAGCTCAATGTCTGAGAAATGTTCAGTGACAAGGAGCCTACGCTCCAACTCATATCTTGATTTTTTTCTAGTTTGCTTTCTACTCTTATGAGCCTAAACTAAACGCATGTTTTCTATTGTTCATTTATAGCTAATCTACTTAATGTAGGGATATAGCATCTGCCCTTAACTCAGACATACCAGTCTACCTTGTTTTATGATTTCATGTTATCATTATTTTATTTTCACAACAATTTGCTACTATATTTCATGCCATGACACCATATCATCATGTACATCACTATAAGCTTGCCAATGCTGTTGTGGCTTTAGAAGCCACCTTTGCACTGAAAATAAAGAATGACAATTTTTTTTTACATGTACAGTTATTTATGCAAATGCTGGAAATTGCTAACTTTCATATTGTAAAGGAAAATTAAGCTATCTACCAGAACTTACAAGGGACACTATAGTCACCAGAACAACTATAGCTTAATGTAGTTGTTTTGGTGTGTATAGTATGTCCCTGCAGGCATCTTCAGGAAAAAAAGGCAGTGATTACATTACTGCCTAGGAGCATCTCTAGTGGCCATCACCCAGACGGCCACAAGAGGTGCTTCCTGGGTCAGAACTGCACAATGAAAGCATTAGATTGGCTGAGATCAAATTTGATTATCTCAGCCAGGGAGTGAAGCAGGGACGCAGCAAGCCGTGGAAGACCTGCATTACACTGGAATAAAGGTATATTTTTTTTTGTTTTGTTTTAACGGGGGCAAGGGGAGGCCAGCCACCTAAAATGTGTTTTTAATACAGTTGTGTCAAGAATACATGTTTGTATTTCTGCCATTATAGTGTTCCTTCAAAGCTCACACATATTTATTGTACACTGGTCCACTCTATATTAACTTCATGAGGTAAAATAAAAGTTTATGTTAGAAAACTATTTACCATTGGTAGTGCTGATATTTATGAAGAAAATGTATGTGGATAATCATTTAGGCAACCCTTGTCTTTACCTATGTGTTTATCTTCAGATAAATAAGAGAGGCCTAAGAGCCACATGACATTCATTCTTTAAAGCATAGCCTGATTGTTATAAATAATTGTATTACATTAAAAACCAAGGCACACTTGCTTTGCTTTCATTAGTTATTTCATATCGGCAAATTAACTGTAATTTTATAACACGACAGGAGGCTTTGTATTTTGCATTAAACTCCCTTTACTAAACATCGGCAGCACAGACTTAACAATAAAGTTTAGTGAAAAAGACATTGCAACAGGGTATAAAAGGCTCCTCCCCCTATATATCTTCCTTTTTCTTTGCTGCTTCAGCCTAGGCACAGGTCAGAGTAATTTGTTCTCAGCTCCATTATCTTATATTGTTTTTATCCTGCTTTCGATTTGATCATAATTAAATTTCTATTATTCCCCTGCTCCCTCTACAACTTGTCTTGCCCTCATTCCCTCCGTCATTCTCTATTTCACTTTATTTTTTTTTATTTTTTTTTTACATCTCCCTGCTGTCCTGACTCCTACTCTCAAGCAGGTACCTGTTCTTTCAGGCTCTCCTGCCATTTCACTCTTCTCACACTGTTGCGCGTTGCGACATTTTCGCAGCGATTGTGCCGCGGTTTTAGTGGTTTCTGGGGGTAGCAGGAGGGGTACTGTGGGTGGGGGGAGAGTGGGGCATTATTACTGTACCGGCGGACCATGCTGCATATCTGTTTTCTTCACACATCTACTAAAAAGGGAAAATGGATTCTACATTACTGTACTGTACTGTACATACTGCCTGCTTAGAATTGATTTTAGACCTGGTTCTGTATATGCACCAAATAGAGTGAACTTCAACCTTTTTAAAGAAATATATATCTATTTAACTTGAATACATTCCAAGAGGATTACCGATCATGGGGGTAAACCCCTCACCACCGGGATGACCCCCCCACATTCAAGCATGTGCTTCCACTGGTGTTATTAACAGGGGTGACCCCCAATGTGTATATATGTGTTCCATATGACACCTTACCAGAACTGCCTTCCTGACATCATTACCAGCAACCAGTAGCATTATATTAAGGGTGACCCCCTTAGTATTGCTGGGGTGCCCAACACATACTAGAGTGCCTACTTATATGTTAACACTGTTCAAGTTACTTGATGTTGCAAAGGTACAGCTCCGCTGTATAATCGGGGTGTATCCCACATTCACACACCCTGACCAATTAGCGGGCAGCTTTCATTGAGGGTGATCCCCCACCATGATACCCGTCCCATTCTATGGGATGATACAGGGGTGACTACTTATTTAAGAGACGGTCAGTGTATCCAATACTGCAAAGGGAAACCACCTTGTGTAAATACACAACCACTGGCACCGGTCGTTGGAGGGTGACCCCCTCTCATTTGGCACTCCATGCATAATATATTATTGCACTCCAATTCTGGGTGAGACCCAGTTGTACTGGGAGCCAGATACCCTGCAACATTATGTGGTGCACACGTATTGCTCACAGGTATGTCATTCTGTCATTATGGGAACCTTGTGGCACGATTTCTGAACATCACAGATGTGATCCTATGGTTTCAGGGGATCCTGGTCAGTCAATTGCTTATCACCATCAATTAAGGAACTACTAGGGGACTCTTGGACCCAAGGCACTAGAAGGAGCTACGGCACCACATGGACAGAATGGAGATGGATCTCGAAACCTTTACGGCACCTGTTACTGCCGTACTAAATTTCTTATTCCATCTTTTTTCGGCGTATCGCTTTATCAATGTTACATGTTTGGCTATCTCGGCAGCTCATGTTCCTCTTCAGGACACTCCTATAGGCCAGAACCCTCTGGTCTGTCACCTTCTGAGGGGGGAATTCGCTTGTCTAGACCACTTGCTCCCAAATACTCGCGTATGTGGGATATGGCTCTAATTTTACATTTTTTTCGTGACTGGTCAGACTTTACGGAATTGTCTTTGCACCTACTCTCGGCAAAACTTACAGTTCTGTGTCTTTCTTTTCAACAGGTTGCAGACGTTTGAGCGTTCAACGTGGACTGTTTTTGCTTTACTCTGGAAGAAATGTAGTTTTTTTCTTTTTTTTTTTTTTATCTCGTGTCGGACTAAGACGGACCTTTCCACCGTCTCATCTCCTGTTTTCGGACTGTTCCCCTGCCTGTGCATGGTTGACATATTACTAGGATATATAGAGCGTACTGCTCCTCTACAAACATCCCCATTGGGACCACTCCTTATTTCATTTGCTGGCTGATATCTCTAGTGGGTGAAGACTCTCTTGTTTTGGCGCACACTCGGTTCAGGGCGCAGCCACATAGCTGTTTCCGGTGGGTGCTTCGTCTACCGACCTAATGTGATCCGCGGACTTGACTAGAGAAAGTACATTCCGTGTTTTTTCTTTACGTCAGGTTTCTCATGCTTTTTGCTTTTCTTCCACAGCTTTAAAAATGCAAAATACGAAGCCTCTTGTTGTGTTATAAAATTGTAGAATTTGCTAACCCAGTGTACCGATTTATCTTAATTTTTATTAAGGACAGGAGGCGATTATTTCCCCACCCTTTTTTCCCCTCCCTGTTTCTATGATTCTATGACTCTACGAAAACCGTTCTATGCCGTCCCGCATTAAAAGGGCTTTAACCCCTTAAGGACACATGACGTGTGACATGTCATAATTCCCTTTTATTCCAGAAGTTTGGTCCTTAAGGGGTTAAAGCCGTTGCGGCGGCATAGAACGCCGTAATGGCTTTGAGCCCTGGAGCCTCAGAAATACTTTCCTTCCCGGCGCTCCGCTTCGGGAGGACTGCCTGACAGCCCAGGCAGCCCTCCCATGCCAAATATGGTCCCCTATAGCTGGCTGTGGATCTGCCAGCAGGGGGACTGTCTGAAATATAACCCCTTAGCTAACCCCTTCAGGACGGAGTCAATTGTACACGTTCTGACAAAACAAAATGTAAACAAAAAACTGGAATTTGCGCTATATGTCTGTTCAACCGTAATTCACCACTTTCATATTATATGCACCCACACTTATATATCATTTTGTTCAGGAGAAACAGGGCTTTCATTTCATATCAAATATTTTATATATGAAACCTAATTTATTATGAATAAAATAAAAAAATAAAAAAAATGATTTTATTTTTTTTCAAAAAAAATAATTGTAGTTCCGCCTCACATTTTAGCTGTAAATGTCATAATACTGTTAGCTTTTACTGCAAAAAAAGCACATATTTGGATTCAGCAAAGTCTCACAACAGTAGCCCCCATTAACAGTTTTTACGATGTTTTGGAAAGTTAAAGGTTCAAATATAGCACATTCCATTTTACAGTTTTTTTTCACATTGAAATTTGCCAGATTAGTAATGTTACCTTTGAGACCGTGTGGTAGCCCAGGAATGAGATTTACCCTCATGATGGCATACCATTTGCAAAAGTAGACAACCCAAGGTATTGCAAGCGGGGTATGGCCAGTCTTTTATAGTAGCCACTTGGTCACAAACACTGGCCAAAGTTAGCATTCATATTTGTTTTTGTGCGAAAAAAGCAAAAAACTAATATTTGGCCAGTGTTTGTAACTAAGTGGCTACTAAAAATAACTGGACATAACCCGTTTGCAATACCTTGGGTTGTCTACTTTTGCAAATGGTATGTCATCATGGGGGTAATTCTTATTCCTGGGCTACCATACGGTCTCAAAAGGCAACGTAACCAATCTGGCGAATTTCAATGTGAAAAAAAATGAAATGCAAGCCTTATATTTGACTCTCTAACTTTCCAAAACACCATAAAACCTGTACATGGGGGGGTACTGTTTTACTCAGGAGACTTCGCTGAACACATATATTAGTGTTTCAAAATGGTAACTTGTATTACAACAATATCGTCAGTAAAAATTTGAAAGTTACAGGGTTAAATATAGTGCTTGCAATTCAAATTCTCTGCACTTTTTGCATGGGTTGTCAGGCATGTCAATCAAATGGGTCCCCAAGGATGGCATAGCATGCCCGCCGTCTTGAAGGGATTAAAGGATGTGTTTCTTGTTATATTGCATCAAATAAAGAGGAAGAGATACAGGGGGAGGAGCTTTTTATATCCTGTTGCAATATTTTATTTTTTTCACTTAACTTTATTGTTAAATCTGTGCTGCTGGAGTTTAGTTCAGAGTGTGTAATGCAAAATTCTCACCTCCTGTCCTTAATCAAATTAAGATTATAGGCAGGGCAGTCCTTAGACCTTTTTAGGTGCCCTTTGCGAAAATCTTCAGTGCCCCCCATTGTGTGTGTGTGTGTGTGTATTGTATAGGGGATTTATTAAATTAATAATGATTTGAAAACGCATTCATTTCTCCTTTCCTGTTACCTAGTTGGAAGAGGGGCATGCTGATCTGAATCTGGTCTGAGTGCAGACCATGCGTAACTGTCTCGCAAGCTCAGGGACTTGCAGTGTCCTGTGGTAATCTGTGGCAGCGCTCTGATTGGCCAAAGCTAGGAAGACAGCTACTTATGGTCTGCAGCCAACCGAGGTGCCAGACTGCCTCTCTTACATTACAGAGGGGCAGACTAAGTATGTCACATGATACTGTGAGTTGTTTTGCTTTTAAGCTCTGGATTATACTTATTTACCTTGATCTCTTTGGAATAAAAAATGTTAGTATTGCGCTGTTTCTCCATTTATCACTGGGCTCCACAGAAACAAAAAGCCCTCACACTACTATGTGGTGTGTGCCAGTTTATCACAGAACTCCACAACAATAAAATGGTAATGTAGAACTCTGTGACACGCTCATACACTACACAACTATACAACACCAACAAGTAATGTGCCTAATAGTGTATCACCGAGCTCCCTAACTATAAAAACATAGAGTAATGTGCATTTTATATACCAGAGCTCCACTGTAATACATCTCACTATAATATGATGTAATGTTTGTGTTGTCTGTGATGGGTGTGATGACTGTGTGCTAATTCAGCTAAAAATACGCATTCAGGCCTATGTGTGAATGCAGGCGTATATTTTTGCAGAGTCACATGCACACAGTCCCACCGTCAGATGCACATAGTTACACATATACACTGTCAAATCCAGCCGCACTTACACAGTTGCATGAAGATAGTCACATACACAGGATAAGGCAGAAACACACAGGTCCTGGCAGTCACACACCTACAGTTACAGGTAAACACATTCATACACAAAACAGGCAGACAGTCACACACACAGGTACAGACGGACCGTCACATACATTCTTACACACGCAGACAGCCGCATGCGCGTGCAGGCACCCACGCAGGCAGGCGCAGGCAGTCACACATAGTTACCTCTGTTCATTATTGAGGAGTTATGGCAATGCCGCTCCTTGAGACATTTTAATGACCGCTTACTGATCTGCTTCTTACCTCCACATCACTTGGAGGTCCTGGAGACTGGTTTTTGGGGAAGCAGGGACTCCTTTCTGCTTCCCAGACTGCATAGAAAGCTCCGCCCCACTGCAATGTTGGGTAATTTTAAAAAAAAATCTAAATTATAATTCCGGCCAGCCATGTGAACTGTCGGCCGCATGGCGCTCCCTGCTGCCATGGTGCCCTGTGCGGCCACACAGCTCGCACACCCCTAAGGCCAACCCTGATTATAGGTACACTGCGTTAGCATAATCTACAATTATTGCATCATTAGTTTTTCTTGAAAGGAACATTCAAACCCTTAAAACACTTCCTTGTATGTGTTTATTTTACATAAAATGCAGTTTTGAAAACAGAAATTGGCCATTTTATAAAAGAACCTTGAGACATCCCCACTTTTCAGTTAGAGAGCTGGTCCTGTTACTTCATGGGTGTTTAGCTCAGTGGATTTGCAAAGGGCAGCTGTCTTGCAAAGACTCCTCATTGAGCTACA